ATCACCACATAAAAAATGAAGAGACCTTGAAAAGGCTAGCAAATGGGATGTTCTGGGACTGCCTCTTTGGCTCTGCTGTTGAGAAAAGAGCTCAGCTCTGTGGTCAGACTCAGCCAGACATGTCCATCACTGCAGGCCTGGTAGATCTGGCCTCTGAGATTCTCAAGAAGTTCCTATCTAGATCAAGCCAAAGGAAACATATTTGTCACACTACCACCTACTATATTCTGCTACCTTAATATATCTCAGGGGCTCAGTGACAGAGCTGTGTGATACAGCAGTTTCTGTTTGTGTGGAGTGTGCCAAGGTAGTCTGCTATTGAGGATGGTAGCACAGAGTGGTTAGCCCACCCTACCCCCCGGCATGGCCCTTAAGGCTTCAGAGGGTCCTATATATATATATATATATATATATATATATATATATATATGAGACCTAAGGCTCCATGGAATTAATGGTACTTGAGGAAAGAATCTGGACCCTACACCCCTCTCTCCCAAACAACTGGGAAGGAGTTGGGACCTTGGGAGCAGCATAAAGGCTGCCTCCGCCTTCAGAGCAGGCAGACCCTGACAGAAGGCTACCCTGCAGAATGCTCCAGAGTGGAAGGCTAATTGGTAAGGGTGTTCAGCTAAAGAAAACTGGGAATTTAAGTCACAATCACAGCTCCAGGAAAAGGGCTGGGGAGGTAATCCCTGCTTAAGGGAGGGTAGGAGTGATTAACCTAAGGCAAAGAGGCCTGGGAGAGAACCCAAGCTCCAGACAGAGGGCTGACAGGGACCTTCTACTCAGGTGAGGGTAGGATTGGCTCATCTAAGCTAAAGAGCTAGGACTTACGTGTCATCTCCCAGCTGCTGGGAGTAACCTTGAGGGGGTAAAGCTGTAGAGACAGTGGTGAGGAACCAGAGATCCCAATTAGGGATATTAGAATCCGGAGATGTGGGGAAAGATGTTGACAAGATAAGTAAAAGATAGAAGCAGCCCAGGAAAAATGGCAGAGGGATTGAAGGAACAGTCCTTGGCTACCTAAACAAGTCCTGGAGCTGGAACCCAAAGTAGAGGGGGGGCCTGGGTTCCCTTCCCTCTTGACTGGGGAATGATAAGGGCATCAGAAAGAGAAGAGGTCAAGTATTGTGGGCCCCAGATGCAGGTTGAGGACTGAGCTCAGAAGCCCTCAGACTTTGGGATTTCCTATCTGGGACTTTTCTGTTAACCTAGAAGAGGAACAGATTGGGCAGTGACCTGGCTGGAAGGCTAGGCTATGTATAAAGATAGATGTTGTGACACCAGAATGACTACAGGAGGGCACCAGGCTGAAAACAGCCCTGCAACACCACACCCAGACTCAGGGAAGTGGTCTGGAGGTGAGAGGCATGATGACAGGGGGCTATAAAAACTTTGTAAAGTTTCTGGCCTATGTTAAGTTCACCACCCTTCCCTCTGAGTTCTGAATTTGAACCCAAAACCTCAAACCTCAGTCAAAACCATCAAGTTTTATCTGGTTTCCATTCAAAACCACAAAAGTTCCTGGGGTTTATTCAAAACCTGATTCACATGTTCTTGCTTGAAACTTGACCCAGGTATACTGAAAGATTCATGAAGCTTAGTAAAAGTCAGGTAAGCTTTGGGTCTGTAATAAAACCCCAGAGCAGGTGAATTTTGTGCCCAGTTTCTGGTTCATTATTAAAGCCTCACATAGGTCTGCTAACTAGTGAGACAGTAACAATCTATGGAGCAATTCATTTTTCTAAATGAGGCTGGATTCAAAGCTGAAATTCCCAGGTGTGCAATACCATTCTGCTCCATTTCTTGGCATTTGTATACACAATGGAGGATTTTTCCAAACATCTGGACAGTGATGCATATTATTATTTGTCACTTTTTCCAGTGTAGGAATATCAAAAAAGGTTCATATTAATTTGGATGATGATGAAAGATCTGGGAATGATTTGTATTTCCTCAGTTGGACCCAGCCAGCTTCATCTCTGGGCCTTCTTTAAATCAGATAAATTAGAAATGGAAAAAGGCCTACTCAATCAATCAGACCAGCTGCCTCTTTAGCTACTTTCTACAGTTCTTCTACAGCTTTGCGGTTTGCACATACTTTTCAGATATCTGTGGATTCTTATCATGTCCCCCCCTGTCATTATATAGTCCATCAAGATATAATTAGCTTTTTATTCTTTCTTTGTAAATCTCCAGTTTGCGACCATACCCTTCACCAGCTGAAGTGTATCTTTTTCTATTGCAGGAGTAGCTATTGCAACCATTTCTACCATATCCTATTTACCAGTCTTAATATAGCAGGTGAGAGGTTTCTGTGGCAGCTTACAGAACTGTCTCCATAGGAGTCCTTCATCCGCTTTAACAGGGTTGGTGTGGGCCTCCTGATCAACACAGGACAATCAATAATATGATACAAATTCCTACAGGGTACCTGAATTCTCTGATTCTCAGACTGTGGACTCTCCTTAATTGTTTCAGTAAGAGTCAGTCCTGAACTCCCCTACATCTGGTCAGCTCACACAAAAGCTGTGTGTTCCCCAGTGTAAAACAATCAATCACTTTAATATTGGATGGAAAGGCAGACAGAGACAAACACATGGATGTTTGGGTTGGGTGTGCTGTTTTTTCTTTTTCCAATTAACCTTTTGCGTATCTAAGGCGGTTTCCAAGGAGACAGAGGAATTGTTCAACCCGTTGACAAATGGTTCTCGTCTGACACTGGGAACGCTCTCCTCAGAGTGGGGCCTCTGACAGCCACATAATATGATTATACTTGGCAGAGCAATTCCTTAAATTTGGGGGGGGTGTCCAGAGATTTACTCAGCTGTAGCAGCTGATGTGTTTACCAAATGAGGTTCTGCCATACAGTTCTCAGCAGTAGGACAAACCTCTATATGGGTCTGTAGCTAAGAGTTATAAATTACTTGGACAAAGGAAGGGAGAAGAGGCTTTCTGTGCGGTTACCTTGTAGCAAGCCATACTCCCCAAACCACTGTGACAGACCCAGCTTCATTACCCAAACCTGGTCTCCAGTGCCAGGAGCCACTGGTGTCTGGCAGAATTAAAAAACAAAAAACTATTTAGCCACTAGCATGGGGGAACATGGTGCCTTGTTGCTCTACAGTACTCTGTGTGTCCCAAAGAAGAGTAGCATTGATGGACCCTGAAAGGGACCTATCAAGCACTTCTCAGCCAAAAATACCCTCCCGAGAACTTGAGATTCATAAGCATGTACTTAGTCCCTGTCCCAAAGATCTTACAGTCTGTCTTTTTGCTCTGTTTGTACAGCACCTAGCACAATGGTGTCCTGGGTCCTACAATAACAATAGGCACATAGGCTCCATATGCAGTGCAGGAGGAGAGAGAGGCACCTAAAAATGGGATCCACAAAAGCCTGCACGGAGAGCTGCCTAAGTTAGCCAGTAGGAGATGCCAACCCGAGGGTGTATCCTAAGCCCCACCCCTCTCGCAGAGGTAGGCACCTACGTACAGGCTGAAGGCAGGTACCCTTTTGTTTGTGATCCATAACCAGGACCACCTTCCTGGAGTAAGGCACCTTAGGCGCTTAAGATGGTTCTTGGGACTGAGTTAGGCACCTGCCTAATTTGAAACAAAATGGCTAGAAGAGAAGGTGGTGATGTGGTACTACTACCCCTGTAACTTTTAGCCCAGAGGTTAGCACACTCACCTGGGATGCTGGAGACCCAGACTCAATTCCCCACTCAGCCTGATGGGGAAAAAAGATTTGAACAGACTCCCACCTCTCCTGAGAGTGCCCTACCCACTGGGCTATGGGATGTTCCGAGTGGGTGTCCCTGAATCTCCCCTATTGAGGCTATTTTTGGGGCCAGTAAGAATGACTCCATAGCATGGTGGTTAGGCAACCCACCTGGGAGGTGGGAGAGCAGAGGGACTACGGTATCTGGAGTAAGGCAGCAGTGGGAATAACAAAAGGCAGAAATTTAGGTGGGTAAAGAACTTTTAGAGCAAAAATAGGCGGCAAGTGAGTTTAGGCCCTGGCCTGGGGAGTTAGATGGCACCAGATCGGAGCAGGGCAGTGGTGTCTAAATCTCTTTGGGGATGTGGGCCGAGGGGTCTAGTCACTTGAGGCCACACGGAGCATTTCAGAGGGATAAGCAGAAATGAAGCAGGTAAACTGATGCAAACACCCCCCAACCCCCAGGATCTGGTGCTATCCCATGGCTGGCAGGAGTAGCCCAGTTCCTTCCTTTCCTCAGGCATGTGGTGCCACTTAGTGGAAAGCTGTGAAAAAAACTCCGAGTTTATTGAATTATATCAGCAAAGGAGCCAGGGCCGGTGCTAGCGAAGGGGGAGCAGGGCTCACGCTGGCTTTGAACAGCCCCGTTCCCGAGGCAGGTGCTACCGCTCCGCTCTGCCTGCGGGGCTGCCCAGAGCCTTTGCCCCCAGGCCTTGCAGGGACTCGCTCGCCCCCACCAGCGGAGGGCGCTGCCGGGGAGACTCGGGAAGGCGCCCGGGGGCTGGGCTGGGCTCCCCTGGCGGGTGGCGGTGTCCGGCCTGGAGCCGCAGGGGGGCCAGGCCGGGTGGGGCCCAGCCACCGCTTGGCTCTGGCAGCCGCCTCCGGCAGCCCAGTGTGTCCTGCGACGAAGATAACGGCGCCTCCCTGGGCCTGACGGACGGGACGCGCGGCCTCGCCCGCCGGACAGGGAGCCGCAGCCAGCCGCCCGCCAGAGCCCGGCCTGTTCGCCCTGAGGCCTACCGATGGGAGCCGGTCCGGGGGGCGGGAGCAACCCCCGAGACTCGCCCCGGCCCTGCTGGGGGCGCACGCGCGGGTCCTGAGCAGACCCGCCTGGCAAAGTTGCCCAGTCTCACGAGACACAAACGCGACCCCGAACGAGCAGTCCGCGGCGACCGGCGCTTCCCCCGGGCCAGCCGGACCTGGCCCTCGGCGGCCGCTAGAGGGCGCCGCTGCCCTTGGACTCCCGTGGGAGCGGTGCGTCGTGACGCACGCACGTGCGGTGACGCAGTACGGCGGCCGGGAGAGGCCGGCAGGCAGGCGCCGCCGGGGCAGCGTGATCGTCTCGTCCGGCGGGAGTGACTTTGGGCGCGACCGCACCCGGGATGGAGCCGCTGGATCGCTGCGCCCGGCCGCTGCGCGCCGTCCTGGTGCGGAGCTCGATGCGGCTGTGGCTGCCCTGGGGCCTGCTGGGCCTCATGCTGGGCGGCTCCCTCCTGAAGGCGCTGGCGCCGCTGCCCGACTCCTACCTGAGCAGCAAGCGCAACCTGCTCAACATGTGAGGGGGCGGGGGCGGGGCCTGGGCCGGAGGGGGCGGGTGGTGGAGGAGGACCGTGCTGGGGGTGTATGGCTCGGGGCTGTGGCTGTTTGAGCCCTGATCCAGCACCAGCCGGCGCACCAGCCGGGCGTACGTCCCTCCCTCCATGCAGGGCTGCGGAAGGATCCTAGAGAGTCAGGACACCCATGCCACGCTCCTGCGGCTGGGCCTGGTTGCTTGTAGGACACGGAGGGGCAGGGGAGCCCTATGCAGGTGGCCGGCTAGCACCTTCCGTCTGTGAGCAGCAGCATTCAAGGGGCCTGTGGACCTGACAGTCCTGCACCAGCCTGCCTGTGCTTTGCCGGCTCGTGTTCCTGTGATCCCTGAGGTTCCTGCGAAAGACAGAGATGAGAGATTAGTTTTACACTGTGCATCTGGCAGCCTTTTGTGTGCAGTCATTTTGCTGCTCTGTTAGTCTTTCCTCTGTGTGGTAAATCAGTTTTGTCTGTTTGGATCTTCTACTCAGAAACAGGGAGGCCTGTTTTTTTAAATCGAAAAATGCAGTTGTAAAGCCCCAGAAATTGGCAGGGAGACTTGGGGACAGGATCTAAGAGCGATTAGATCAGATGGTGCTGACTCTTTCTTTCTTCTGGCTCCTAAAACACATTAAATATTTGGCTAAGCTTGTAAGGTCTTACGCTCAGTTTGATGGCATATGTCTGGTTATACTGTATAATACAGGGGTCTCAAACTCAAATGACCATGAGGGCCACATGAGGACTAGTACATTGGCCCAAGGGCCGCACCACTGACCACCCCCCGACCTGCTGTCCCCGCCCTGCTCCCACTCCACCCCTTTCATGAGGCCCCACCCCTGCCCTGCCTCTTCCCACCCCTTCCCCGAAACCCCCACCCCAACTCTGCCTCCTCCGTGCCCTCGGGGGTGCAGGAGGGGTGCAGGGGACTCAGGGCAGGGGGTTGGGGTGCAGGAGGGGTGTGGGTGCGGCACGGAGCTTAGGGCAGGGGGTTCGGCTGCAGGAGGGGTTCGGGGGGCGGGTCCGGCCCAGTGCACACTGGGGGCAGGACAGGCTGCCTGCCTGCCCTGCCCCGCCCCTGCACTGTTCCGGGAGGCGACCAGGACCTGGGGGAGGGGCACAGGGGTCTGTGGTTGCCCTGGCCGCGCCTTCAGGTTCCTCCCTCGAAGTTCCCATTGGTCGGGAACTGGGAACCGTGGCCAATGGGAGCTTCGGGGGAGGTACCTAGAGGAGCGGCCAGGGCAACACACAGACCCCTTTGCACCCACCAGGTCCTGGCCGCTTCCCAGAGTGGTGCCGGGGCAGGGCAGGCAGACAGGGAGGGAGCCTGCCCTGCCCCCGGTGCGCACCGGGCTGGAGCCGCTTTAGGTAAACGTTGTGGGGGGTCCATGGGGAGCTGGTGGGTCGCAGAAAATAACATGCGGCCCACGAGCTGCGTGTTTGAGACCTCTGGTATAATGCAATAACTTTTGAATGTTGGAAAATTGGAGGACACTTGAAGCCCCTGCCGTATTTTCAAGTACCTCTGCAATTGTCAGTAGATCAAAGAACTGGTTGATGGCAACAATTAATACCTTCCAGCATAACAATATCCTGTCTCATCTCTGTTTATATAATGTGTTGACACCCTGAATGATTTTTCTCCAGACAGAAAGAAGTGAAATAATGATAGTGGGCAGCCCCTGGGATGAAGGGAAGGGGGAGTAAACAGAGCTCTCGGTTTGGGAGGAATGGGGAATCACACAAACCCAGGGGGGAAGTGAGGAGCGGGAGGCGCAGAGAAGCTCCAACATGAGCATGGGAGGTTGCAGAGAATCCCTGGAGTTGAGAGGGAACTTGTAGGGGAGAATGGAAGGATGCAAAGAGCCTCTGGTGTATGCAAATAAGCAGAGCCTACAGCAGCGGCAAAGTGTGCAACATCTCCCCACCCCCACCCACCCCCATTCCCATGATGTTGATATTACTTTTTCATGTTACCAATTGTAGTTGCTATGGGGATGTAAATCCATTGTGGATTGGAGGGCAGGAGAGACCAGATACTCCAGACACTCATGAAGAGGGAGGGATGTGTCCGCAAGACAATCTATTTGGCGGTCACTTGAAAGCTTAAGGACCCCTGTTCTCCAGGTTTCTGGATTAGATGCTGTGGTGTTGGGTGCTGTGTAAATAACCAAGGTAAACAGTTGTGAGTGATGTAATTTAGAAACCTCTTCTATGTACACCCCTAATCCCTACCCCTTCCTTGCTGTCTCGGAGGTTAATATATTTATATGTTTCCTTTGGCTTCTCCCTGGCAGCTATTTTGTCAAATTGGCCTGGGCCTGGACGTTCTGGCTGCTGCTACCCTTCATTGCTATCACCAACTACTATCTCAGCCGAAATGTCCTGGGGGTGCTGCGGCGTCTCGGCACCTTGCTGGTGGGCACCGTGGTTTGGTACGTCTGCACTAGTCTCTTCTTGCGCATAGAGGATTTCACTGGCAACTGCTACAAATCGCCAGCACTTGATGTGCTGTTCCAGGAGCACCCCAGCAAGTGGCAATGCCGCCAGGGTGGTGGCTTCTGGAATGGCTTCGACATCTCAGGGCACTCCTTCCTCCTAACATACTGTGCCCTGATGATTGTGGAGGAGATGGCTGTGCTGCACGTCCTGAACACTGACCGGAGCCCAAGATTACATGCAGTGGTCAATGCCCTGTTCGTTGCCTTGAGCTTTCTGACCCTGATCTGGGTCTGGATGTTTTTTTGCACTGCTGTATATTTCCATGACTTCTCCCAAAAATTGTTCGGCACCCTAGTGGGTCTGTCAGCCTGGTATGGAACATACAGGTTCTGGTACTTGAAATCCTTTTCTCCTGGACTTCCTCCCCAAAATGCTAGCTTGAGTTCAAAGAAGCCTAATTGTAGCAGATAAAAATTTCTGTAATTCAGATTTTGTTTTAAATACAGGAATATTAGTTTGTCCAATGCTCCATTTTTTTTTTTTTTTTTAAAGAGCATATTTAAGGGGATGGGAAGAAAGGCCAATAGTCTTTACAGTCTGATGCCTGGCTTGTGGCTATGGTCTAGTTCCTGGTGAGCAAATGTTGATATCACAGAACTGCGTACCGTGATTGGGTGTAATTGGCTACCTAACTGAAATCTGAGCAAAGAGGCCAAGGGTTGGATCCAGCCTGGAGACTGAATTCTCTTCTCCCTTTCTGGGGGTCCTGCTGGGGCAAGCTTGAGGCCCATTGGCAAGGTGCTGTAAAGAAAGCCTGCACTGCTACTACCTATGCTCACTCTACCTGTTCTGTTGATAAACAGAGGATCCAGGATTGGCAGAGATCTTCAGTCTTTAGGGCTATCAACCCAACACCTTTCAGTGATCTGAAATTCATCATTCTCTTCCCCATCCCCATCATCTTTTTTTAAGATAAAATATTTCACATGGTCCAAACCTTGTGCTCGGTTTTAATTCTGACTTTTTGAATACTCTAGTTGTGATCTTTACAAATGTGCCTGGGGCAGTGTAATGGTGCTAACTAGTGCAGCAGACTTTTAATTGGCAATCAAAATGCACTTATTAAAGCAGAATGTAGCTGGGTTGTGAAACTGGAGCACCTCACATTCTTAGACTGTTAAATACTTTCACTTCCCATAAATTTTAATTGGCCATCTGTATATTCAGCAGCAAGAAGAGAGACTTTGCTTTTTGCGACCCAAAGCCTAATGTTAGGTCACAGCTTTAAATTGACTCCTCCTCTCAATCTTTGGAAATGAAATTCCTAAAAAATAAATTTTATTGCTTCAGATGATGATAAAAAATTCGATTTGCCCCTTTATTCTTAACACTAATTGTAAAAATAGCAAGATGGTATGTTTTGTTAAAATGTAATAATAAGATGACTCCTCCCAGTTCTCTGTTAATTGGCTTGTACAAAAATGTTAATGATTTAAAAGATTTTTTTTTTTCAGATGTTATAAGTTTCAAATTTTGTATTTGCATTAAAAAAGCTCTGTTTGATGTGTTCCTTTCAGACGGACGCCCAGCGGATTTCTGGCCTCATGTAACAAGTGCACTGGCTGGACCCATTATATCTTGAATCATTGTGTTTGTTAGGGGTTGTATGTAATATAGCATTTCTGCCAAGGGTACTGTAGAAATATGCTTAAAGAAATACTTATTCTTATCTTTTTGTTGGCATCAATAAGCTATTTTAACTGCATACTAAGTTGTGGCAAAAAGTGGTAGCCAGTAAAACCCTATTATGATGTACAAATTGGGATGTCTATGTTCTGTCCTTCATGTGAGATGGACATTAGCATAATTTTTAGTTTAAAAATTGTATCTGTTTTACAAAAGCCTTATTCATGTCATGAGTAGACAAACCAAAATCAGTTTCACAACAGTACTAGTGAGTCCAGCAGGCTATCAAAAGCTTTTGGTAGCTCATCTGTATGTCTTCTAAACTGTAGCTAGTTCTAGTAGCACAGTGATGGACCTAATTTTCTACATCACTTGATTTTGAGTTGTGTTTTGCTGCCTTTAGGACAAGGGGTTCCATACCCTGATCTTAATATGCTCATGTTGCCACCTTAACACTTCTTTCCTAGCCAGAGAGGGAGACCGTCCTGCAAATACAAACAGGTTAATTTCTCATTTGGGGCCTGATCCTTTGAAATGCTGACTTCCCTCTGTTCCCATTGAATCAAGTGATGGTTGAGGGTCCTCGGGAGCTCCCAGAAGGCACAAAGCAGATCTCAGGATCAGGCTGTCTCATGAGATTCCTGTGAGTAGATGAAAAATACAGCTTTGTGTTTTGGGTTGTTCTTTGGGTATGTCTACGCTTTGAGCCAGAGGTGTAATGTTCAGCTCAAGGAGACATACCTGCACTAGCTCTGTTCAAGTTATCACACTAAAAAGTGTAGGCATGGTGGCAGGAGGTGGCAGCCACCCCGAGTACGATGCTGTCCAGGCCTCTCTAAGAACATACTCAGGTGGCTCGCTCAACATGCTGCCACGGCTACACGGCAATCTGAGATAATCTCTTCAAGCTGGAAATTACAGCTCCAGTTCGAACTGTAGTCGGATCCATTGTGTCAAACCACCTTTCAGCTGCTTTATTGGACACCTTGTCTACATGAGAAAGTTTCATCAGTTTAATTTAAATCAGCATTTAAACTGATAGGGTTTCACATTAGTTTAACTATATGCGGACACTCTTATTTTGGTTTAGCTTAAACCTGTTCCCAGTAGATTTAAAGAAAACTGCTAAAAGCCCAGACTCCTCGGGGCAGACACCCCAAGATCCCACTCTTTCCTGAACTGATATTTATACTCCTTTATACTGACATGAGAGGCCACACTCGGGTTATATCAGTTTTACTGTATCTGTTTAAATTATGCCGGTGCCACATTCCCATATAGATAAGGCCTGAGTAGAACCCCAGTATTATTAAAAACTATGCAGTTAAACTGACAGGCTTTTAAAGCTTAAGTTAAAATTAGCTTCCCCTCTGGAAAACACTGTTTTTGTGCAATCTGTTTACAAATACTTCCATTCACTTAACCAGTGTGTCATAGTAACTGTTTATTATGATTATTAAAATTAATAGCATAGGATATGAAAATGCTTGAAACTTTACTGTAACCTCAATGCTAGTATGTTAGACAAATGTAACTGATCAAATTCACCTAGAGGATATACAAGGGGTTGTGTGGTTGAGGTTCAATTTCTGGAGCCTCTAAAGATAAATTAAGGGCCTGCTGCTGCTACTTGTGCCCATGTAGTTAATGGGACTACTTGCATTAGTAAAGACTACTCTGGTGAGTAAGTATTGCAGGATGAGACTTTTAAGTTTGTCATTGAGAATTCCTATGGTATTTGGACACATCAGTAGGGCCCAAATTTTCGAAAATATGAGGCACGAAAGTGTATGAGCAAAACGAGCGTTCTAACGTGTGTCCACTGTGCAGACTGATTGTGTAATTGTCTATATAAATACCCATCTGAGCAAACTATCTTAGTAATACACCTGCGCTTTGTGCTCCTAGAGTGAAAACTTTGCCCCATTGAAGTCAATGGCAAAACTCCCACTGTGTGGCCTGGATTTCGTTCCTAATGTGTTTGAAAATCTCACGGGTAGGTGTCCAGCCTCAGTACAGAGGCCACACGTTTACCATTGACTCGGAGAGTTCGCTTGCTGCGTTCAGACATTGGAACTTTTCTTTTGTGCCTTTTGATCCTACCACAGGCAGATGATCTCGTCCTTTTCGTTTTCAATGTTAATCTAATAGCTGTCTGTGGAATTCAACGGCAGGAAATCTTCTCTCCATGTGTATTTTTTTCTCTTTATTTGGGGGAGGGGGGGCGGGTAGTTTATATTTACCACTGGAATGAAAATCCAGTCCCTCCACATCAAGGGTAAATTTGCAGCAGAGAAGAAAACTCCACTCTAAACAGCTGGATTTGGTGTGGATTGTTGCCAAGTGGACAGATCTTTTCTTTGAACTTGCTGGAAATACATCTGGAATTTGCATGAGTTTTAAAAACTAAAACCTGGAAAAAGTATTTGAGAGGACAATATTCAAATCTTGCAGTGGATGGTGATATGAAGCAATTGTAATCATGAAATTATAACTCATAACAGCCTTGTTTGACTTCCTGAATTAAAGTCTCTTGCCTACATTCAGTATTGTGTCCCCGGTGTCTTTGAAATTATTTAGGGAATTTTTTTCGTCATCATCCCACTACAATACACAAATAAAGTAAACAAAATACATTTTTAAAAGTAGCTTTTTGCTTATTCCTAGCTCTGTATATTTAAGGTTGTGGCTTATTTTTGGGTGTTCTATATAATGACGCCATTAAAAGAAATAACTTCGGATTTTTTGGCATTCCAGATCTCAGAGCTTTCACCTAGCCAAGGGCCTGTTAAGGAACGGAGGGACAAGAGGAATAGCAAAGTAGGAAGTTTTAAAAAGATTTGGGATTAATTTAACTTCATATTACCATTTCCTATAACATGTTTTATCTATTTATATCCTAATGGGTAGGAACAGAATCCCAGCATGGGGCAGAGGAGAGTTTAGGTCTTTCATAAGAACAGGGTGAAAGGTCAGGTTTTAAACAAAACTGAAACTGCCTGGGTTTCGATGCTTTCTCTTTTTTCCCCTAAGTCTCATTTCCGCCTGTAAATTAAGCTTTGCTCTCTGACCTCGCACACTGGGGTTTACCCCCTACTTTTGATTTGACCATTTATTGATACCACAACCGTAAAACCTTTTAGTGATGTCTGTGTAAGAGTAGTGCAGTTAGGACACCTCCCCTCTCAAACTGCCGAACATTTTGAGTCTACCTCTATTTCTGGAGTGAGGCTGTGATAACAGAATCATACCTTGGGTGTAATTCGTCTGCATTACAATTCATGGTGATGCCAGATTGTGACCCTGGGTGCATTTTTATGGGCAAACTGGATGCATCCAACTTTTCTGAAAAACCGAGGCCATTCCTGTTAAAAACCAGTTGGGTGTGAGCGTTTTCAGTTAAATATGTGGCTTCTGACTGTGCAGCAGCAGGTGATGGTGTTCCTGTACCTTGTCTGAGGTCATCTTTTTTTTCAGTTCTTTGCCATCAGTTACCTAGTCAGTCTCTGTTCACTCACACGCCTCTTCCTCTTTTTATAGCTTCTCCTGACCTCTTAGAGCTCCATTTATTTAAAAAGGGTGGTTGTTTTTTCTGTTCATATTCTTAAAGCATTTTGTCAGCCTATCAGGTGGAAGTTTGTTAGCATTTGTGAAAAGCCTCTGCAGCTCTGAACTATGATGACAGTCCTCCTTATGAACAGCTGGGGTAGCAATTGTAAAGTTGGACTAAAATACCCCAGGGCTAGCATGTGATGGAAATGTACTGATATTCCATGGGTCTGTTCTGCGCTGTACAGAGCTGTACCACAAATGCACTGGGTTCCTGGCAGAAAGGGTGAATGTCACTTGCAGATGGCCCCTATCGTGGTCACACAGCTGCATAGGTCCGGGAACTACAGGTGCTGGGGGTGCTACCGCACCCCTAGCTTAAAGTGGTTTCCATAATATACAGGGTTTACAGTTTGGTTCAGTGGCTCTCAGCATCCATGCTATACAAATTGTTCCAGCACCCCTGCACAGCTGTGTGTTCTGTTAGGCTGATCCCTGTACTCATTGGTAAACCTAGTGTCTCTTGGTGGACTAGGTGAGGCTGACGCTGTGGTTGTCTTGGAGAATGGGCATTGTACGCTGCAGTAACTGGCATAAAGAGGGGCATTGGTGACATGCTCAGCAGGAAATTTAGTTGCTGCTTAGACCCAGGAAGGATGTTTTGGAGCTAAAACTGAATGCACAACAAGGATACAATGGGATTAAAGTTGGGGAACGGAGGATTGAATATCCAGGATAAAAAATATACAGAAAAACATGTAATGTTTAAGGGTCACTGCAACCCTATGGATATTGAGCCATAATATGAGGTGAGACCCCAATTGTACTGTATACCTCTCTGATGCATGGAAAGAGCCTTGAACTGTTAAACAAGAGAAGGTAAATATGAATAACTGTCTAATTGATCTACCCTATTTCTAAGACCCTCTATTTAGATGTCCAATCTAGGTGCATCTCTGCATGTATAGGGGGTGTGTTTCAAACCATGTCCTATGACATGAATTTTAGAGATCAGAGGGCAGATTCTTAGCTGGGGTAAACTGTCATAGTTCTGTGGAATTCAATGGAGCGATGACTGTTTACACCAGCTATAGATTTAATCCCTATTCCATAATGTTTGTCATGTTGAAGTCAAACCTACCTGAACCTCATGCTGCTACATGTCTGTACAGCCTTCCCCTGAAGTATTCCTGCCTTTCAAGAGAGAGGATACATTTACGAGAATTGCAGGTGATGTGAGGGTGCCTGTGATGGGCTCAGCAGACCATGTCTTAGAACGTGTGGGCTGTGTCTGGGGTTAGCTACATCATTAAAGAGGGAAACCATGGAACTATAGAAAGGACAGTGCTTTGAAACTTGTCTTCAAGTGGGGCTCGACTGAGCTCTGCACCAGATTCATCTTAGAGGTGAGACTGAATCCATGAAACTTGCTGTCTTTTTGTTTTCAAATAAGCTCCAGCCTTGTTGTCAAATAAGCTCATTTCCCCTTGGGCCCCATGCTCTGACCCCAAATTTGTGGTCTGTTTCACCTGCAATAGTATTATGCACTGTGTTACTTTGGAGTGATACTCAAAGTGCAGCCTCCAGGTTTTGGGATGGTCTCTATTTATAGATCACAGAAACAAGCACCTGTTTGTTCATGTTTCACATTTGTTAGTAGTTTAGTTTAGTTTGTATTTATAGACAGTGGCTCTTCAAAGTCTCCTGCATTCCAGGCTCCCAGCAGCCTGTGGTCAGAGCCTGTTCTTTCTGGTTTGGTTTGTGGAGCAGTGTGGAATGCTATTTTTTATCTAATCAAATTGATCTCATTTTTTAAGATTATAGGTAGTTCCAATGGTATAAAGGGGGGAGGGGCAGAAGTGTTTTAGGGGCAAGGTTCCTCCCTGCTGGTACTTTTGTCAAGGTTAGTAGCTTGACATATTGCAAAAATCTGGTTATTGTAAACCGATTCAAAGCATGTGAAATATTAGCACAAGTTACGTGTGACAGTTTCCTTTTATTGCAACAGATGACAAGGCTGGCCTTAGATTTAAGGCCCTGGCCTGAGCCTCGGCAGATCTGGCTTCAGTTCCTGGCTCTGTCACAGATTTCCCAACTGATTTTAGGCAAGTCAGTTAGGGTGAAGCTCTGGCCCTGTTGCAAGCAATGGCAAAATTCCCATTGACTTCGTTCACTAGAGCCAGAATATCACGCTTTGTGTTTGTCACCCATCAAACTGGGGATGACAGTATTTCCCCGCAACACAGGCGTATTGTGAGGATAAATCCACTAATGGTGAGCTGCTGAGAACAATAAAATGCCTATGAGATCACTTGTTTAAATATAACTATTGTCATTCAGGTAAAAATTTGCCTGTTATTGTCTTGGTGACTCTTTCTACTATCCAGTGAGGAAAGGGAAAGAATTGGCAAAGCGGTAGTTACCAGAGAACAGCTCTGCAGACACCGGATCGCCTCCAAAATAGTGACCTCTTATTTGAATCCAAGTGTTTTCACTCTGCCAGTGGTACAGGCTAGGGGATATATTCTCCTAGAGGTGGGGACTTACACACATGGAATTGGGATGACACTTTCAAAAATGTTACCTGTTTCTGGAGTGAGCTAGTCTCTGCTCCCTGGTTTCTCAAAGCAGTGTTTGAAATCCCCTGTCGTAGGAGAGACACAATGCTGTGAAGCTCTGTGTAGATCTTGACATGGGTCTCAGTAAGATCTCCTACAACTCTTAGGAACATCTTTAATAAAAATCAGGACAGAAGAACAGGTTCATGATAAAGACCACAGCTGGCTGTCCCCTATGGTGTGTAAAGGACTGGAGAATAAACCGCAGGGAATAATCCTGCGCTAGTTAAAGGACCGGGGGAGCAGGATATAGATCAGATGGCTGGGCGGTGAAGGGACTTTTCTCTCTAGTGTCTGTGATGCCAAGTGGCACTAGCAGCTCACGACAGGCCCACCTTTTAAACTAGATATATTTTGGGCATCAGGCTTTTTTGAGTCTGGCATGGAATCAGAGAAATGTAGGGCTGAAAGGGCCCACAAAGGATCATTTAGGCCAGTCCCTTGTGGGGAGGCAGGACCAAGTACACCTGACCCTGGCAGATAAGAAGGGGTGCAGAATCATGCCAAGGAACTGGCGCGTGTGAGCAGGCCAGGGGAAGAGTGGGCATGTAGCCAGTGCATCTACAAACTACTGTGCATGGATCCACTGGCAAAAGCCCCATGTAAGGAATCATGCAAGGCTATAGCTGCTGCTACAGTCCATGGGCTGTATCTGCATGTGAAATAGCTTTAGTATGTCTTTACTCACTTCCCATTATATATGTCACTTGGGCCTGGGTAAATAATACTGTTGAGCTTTGATCTTATGTCCTGAGAAGCACGATGGGTCTCTGGAGAGCGCTCAGGATGATCCCATCTCTCATTTGCAGGCAGCTTTCTTAGTCTCACCTGTAAACCTAGCGCTTTTCTCTAGCGTTGAAATCCTGAAAGTGATTTAACTCTTCATTCATCAAGCTACACTCATCTTTCCTTATTCACATGACTTTATCCAAGTTGGCTGATCACACCAGTGTATGGCCCTGGGTTATCAAGACAAAACTGAATCTTTGAGCCAATTGTATCCCTGATGTTCCTCTAATTGATTTCAGTGGTTACCTCAAGGGAGGATTTGGCCCTTGGTGCGGCACGGGGCTAAAGGAACAAGTTTTTCTTGACACGATGTGGCACTTCCCACCTAATAAATTACATTATTTGGACAGTCCCTATAGCCCTGTGAGGTAGCTGAGGGTTCTTCTCCCCAAGCTACAGATGGGTAAACTGAGGCACGGAGGAGTAAAATGATTTGCCAAAGGTCTCCCAGGGCCAGAACCCAGTTCCACTCCGCATACACTAAACCGTGAGTCTGCTATTCTGACAAATGCAGGAGCATTTCATTCTCAGCCAAAACATGAACCGACAAGTAGTTTAGTTTATTGTTTATATTGAAGCTGGTGTCTAGGAAACAAGAATTGGTCAGTGTTAAGGTGAAATGGAAGGCAAAGCAATCCGTTTGAGAGCTACAACCAAAGCTGTATGTACCTACAATGCTAAACCTCAGTGTACAGACAAGGTCCAGGCTCTGGCTTCCATTCACTTCCACTTTCCCTGGTTGCTACAGATTGAGTTCCCTGATATTCTTGCTAAGTGCAATAAGTGGTAAAGAAATCTACAAAAATAAATCTGTGATGAACCAATTACCCATCTATTTTATTTTCTTAAAACAAGATTATAATATTTCCAATATACAAGTCATTTTAAAAAACCGACAGACTGTGTTCATAATGTGTAATTCTTCATAGTGAAGGATGGGAAACTCTTGTAAATGTCTCTGTACGATAAAGGACAATATACTAGCAAAAAGTAAAGTCACCTGGACATGCCAGGAAACCAAAGTAAGAACAAAGGATGTGAAATGCACTTATGGCTGTAATGTATTTATTTCAGACTGAACAAAAGATCCATCATTTTTGGCCTCAACCAGCTAAAAACCCTGGCCTTAGTTTTATTTAGTACTGGAAATGGATTGGTCTGGATTCCCTAGTTCTTGGTCATTTAGGCCCCAATTCAGCTAAACCCTTAAGCACATGCTGAGGTCTAACCCTGTTCACACAAGTGCTTATGCATGTGTTTACACCACATTAAAGTCAATGGGAGTTAACCATGTGCTTGAAGTTAAGCATGTGATTAAGTGCCTTGTTGGATAACAAAAGCACTGGTTTGCTGAAATGGGGCTACGGGGCTTGATTCTGCCTCACTGAGTCAAGGAAAGCTTTTGTCATTGACTTCAGTGTTGGGTCAGAACTTTATTCTCTACTATCCTATGAATACCTGCAGATGCAAAACTGCGATATTTAATTTCTGATATTCAGAGCAGTTTCCTTATCCTTGGATTATTCATTCAGTGACTTATCAATACCTAAAGCCCTTTAGTAATATCTGATAAATTTGGTGCATTATTGTAGTGTCCTAAAACAGGATTTTGGAGCAACCTGGAGTGGTTTGACTTAACTCTTGATGGTGTTGACCAATGCTGTAGAGTTTCTTTTAGCATAAGTTTAAAACATGGCCTAATGTTAAGTAGTTTCACAAACACTATCATTTGCTATGTTTTTTTTTTTTTCCTTTTGACTGATGTCCCGGATGCAAAGTCCTGTATCTATTTAGTCTCAAACAGGCACAACACGTGCAGTGCCCCTGCAAGCTTCCCCCACCCTGCCCCATCTATGGGCCTTGACCAAGCCTGACCTTAGATGAGCAATCTGAGAGGATAATTCTAGCTCCATGGCCCTGCACTCCGTACCCGAGCTGTTCAGGCTGCCAACAATTGTGTCATGTGGACACTTGTCTGTTCAGAAACAGACTATGATCCTGCCACTAATTTCACGAGCAGTCACCAAATGTTCTTTGAACGCTACGAACCTGGGCGGGGCTCCTATTGGCAATCTAGAAAGGGAAGGCTCTGTATCGTGTTCTCGCTCTGCTGATCATCTGATCAGTTTTATTCCTGAATGCGCCATTTTGATGGGGGAGTTTCCGCTCTGCCTTGAAAAATGAAGGAGACGAGTAAGGTGTGACAGGACAAAATCAATTGCTAGATAAAATGACGTGCTTACATTTTTCATTATTGAAGCTTTCAAACAAAACCCCAGAAAAAAAGAGATTTAAAAACCGTTGTGTTTTTAAAAATCTGAACAGTGGGAGCCATTTAAACTGGAACAGTAGCTGAGAGTAGAGATCAAATTGACTGGAGTCTCCAGCTGAAAGTGAAAGTCTTGATTACCCGAAGGACACAATGTATCCACAGCTCACTCGTTGCCACAGAAAACATAGATCTCTGATCAATCCTAAAAGACCAAAAGTTTTGAAAGTGGCCTCTGATTTTCTGTCCCCAAATAATTGCAGGTTCAGTGTTGGAGCGCAAAATTTTTTTTTTAAGGCACTTAGATGTCTAAAAACTTGATTGCATCCACAAATCACGTAGTTAGACTTTTAAATGCTGAAAATATATCCGGGGCGGGAGGGACTGCAGGAGCAAAATCGAAAGCCAGGTTGAGGCCCTTTTAAAATGAAAGTTAAAACACTTAGGGCTAGATTGTGGCTCAGACTATGCCCCCATATAAAGGAAGAAGAATTCTCCTTACACACTTATGGGGGCCTTAGTTCAAAGGAGTAAGTGGGGCTATTTGTCTGCTTACTCCCTCCCAGGAGCCTGTAAATGGGCAGGGGCAGGGAATGGGTAGATCCCTGGCCTGAACCCCCATCCCCAACTTACCAGCCTCTGTAGCTAAGCCAGCATGGTGGGGGTAGCAACTACTGCTGCCTAGGATAGCTGTCAGTTACTACGCCCAGAAGCAGAGTGGGAATTCACTCGATGTCTCAGGCACGTTGCCCAGCAGCACTCATGGGGTGTTGCAATTTATGCACCACCCCTTGTTCAGGGCTGTGCCTGAAGTCCCCATCTAACTCTAAGGGCTGGGGTGCCACGTCTGCAGTGGGTCACCAGTTCTGCCTAGCGAGAGCACCTCAGGTGGGGAAACCCTTGTCTAGGAGGGTTCTGTTGCAGCTGTTGCCTGGTTCCACGTTAAGGTTACAGTGATAGGGAGAGAACCATTTGTCACCTGAATGCATAGAAGAGGCTGGCAGACAAAGGCCAACTCGTGGATCTGGAATTACATTTGATCGTAACTGCCTCTAACTATAGCAGGACTGCACCGTAATGAAGTGTGTGCATTAATATAGGTTGGTCGGAATGGTAATGCTCATCCGTAGTTCATTTCGGCAGTGCCTTTGCTATCCACCTAACCTCCACAACAGTCCTTCTGATTGCTGTTTTTTACTGTCATGGTCTTTCCCTGGAGTGCTTACTTTAGCCAGAGTCTCCAGCTGATTTCATTGTTGAGCGAATTACCAGGGAAACCAGACTCACTGACCCTGGAAACATGCCAGGGTTGTTTGCCTCTTCCACCTTTTCTGAATTGTTTATTTAATCTACATCAAAATCTCTGAAAAGGACTCCTCTGGTAAGCATTACCAGCTAGTGCTCGCTGTCGGGTATGCTTCTATTCTAGTCCAGATAGATTCTTTCACTGTGATCATCACCATAGTACTTAGGTGCCTCCAGCAGTGCATTAAGCAACACAACCACACATCTTCCGTGTATTTGTTGAACTGAACTGGGCTGCACTTTCCTTTGTCTCCTGTCCAGTGTCCATAGGACTTTCTTACTGAAACAACATGTCCTAGAACAACAGGAACATTCTGTTTTCCCTGTCACTTAAAGTTCTCAATTGCTCTGTCATTTGACTCTCCTGTTGGTAAAAAGCAGCCACCTGCTTATCTGCCCTTCCTCCCAGCATCCCACTAGTGACTTTCTTCTGCATAGACCTCAAGCCAGAATCCTAGGAACTCTGGGCTCACTGTCATCTCTAAGCAGATTCAGTTGGGTCTTGTTATTCCCATCACTCCTGGGACTTCTGCTCTTGTGGCTCCACCAACAGCAATGGCTACATTCTGCATCTGGCTTGTGCATTTCATTGTTCATCGGAGGGTGAAATCCTGGCCCCATTGAAGTCCATGGCAAAACTACAATGACTTCAGTGGGGCAAGGATATCACCTGGGAGTGTCTTTGCAGCTGCCTCCTAGGTATCTGATATAGACCATTGCTCTAGATCAGTGGTTCTCACGTATCCCTGGGGTTACATAGACACCTTCAAGAGGGTACATCAACTCATCTAGATATTTGCCTAGCTTTACAATAGGCTACATAAAAAGCACTAGCGAAGGCAGTACAAACTAAAATTTCATGCCGAAAATGACTTTGTTATACTGCTCTATATTCTATACACTGAAATGTAAGTACGATATTTGTATTCTAATTGATTTATTTTATAATTATATGGTAAAAATGAGAAAGTCAGCAATTTTTCAGCAACAGTGTGCTGTGACATTTTTGTATTTTATGTCTGATTTTGTAAGCAAGAAGTTTTTAAGTGAGGTGGAACTTGGGGTTACGCGAGACAAATCAGACTCCTAAAAGGGGTACAGTAGTCTGGAAAGGTTGAGAGCCACTGCTTTATAAGGACCATTGGCCTGCTCTAGGGTGGCAACCCTACATTTCTATATTAGTCTTTTCCTTTCAAGCTTTTAAACAAGGGGAGGAAATTGGGAGACTCTTCAGTCTCACGCCCCCCTTATAATGTACCAAATTCTGTGGTCTCCTATTTTGGAAACTTCGGGCCAAATTACCACCATGTTTCCACAAATACACCAACAATATTTGTGGGAATACATTTACCCATGTAACATTGCACCCATTTGGTCATGTAAATAGACACTTATGTACAATTGCCCAGTTTGCATATACAAATACTGGTTTGAGGGTTTTGCATGTACCAATGGAGGCATGTGTGCATGCACACACCCACATTTTGAAAAATATGGGTCTAAGTCCTAAGAAAAATGTGTGCATGAATTGGGTACCTCATCTGTGTGCAAATGATTGCACACTCAAACTGAGTGACTGCATGCTCTACTGTATGTGTAACTGATCGTGAAAATATGGAGTAAGTTTGTGCATTTTTGCCTGCACATTTGTCCAAAAATGTACACATTGGTCCCTCATGTTATTTCTGGTGAATTTTTCCATAATTTCATGACTCGCAAGGTGGGGGACCACGGATGTTGCTGTGAAATCCTACGTCTCACAAACGCATAAAGAAACTACTTTTGCCTCTTCGTATCAGAGGCGAGGCACAATGTGATTCCTAGCTCTTGTGCAGTGCTCATTGTTAGCTACCAAACCTAGAGATGCCGTGCTATTTGCCAGTGATCACTTGGAGCTCTGAAAACTAGGTAGAGGAAATTCTAACAGGCTCAGATCTCGCTAGAAAGATTTGATTAAAAAGGAGGGTATATTGCTTCCACTTGGGCTTTATTTCAATCCTTACTGTGCAAGGAAACAGCACAAACCACCTGACAGTCCCTCCAAATACTGACCCCCTTTGAAATAAGAGTCAACTGATGTTAAACACATTTAGAAATGTAAAGCAGTTACGTCTCCCATCTGGTTTATTCCGGATCTCGTAGTTTTCTAAGCATGAGTAGCAGTGACACCCATTATTCTTTCCAACATGCAAAAGGCACAAGAAAGTGATAAACGTGATTCTGTGCAAAGAGTCTCTAAGAAAATACACAGGGAGAAAATTACTGGGAAGAGCCCCCAGCAAAAGAGAAAACAAAAGCATCTTCAGGCAAGTGCAGAAAAGTTCTGAGAACGCTTGCATTTTTCAGAGTCCCGAGAACTCCGTCGGTGAAAGGTGCTTTGCAAATCCAGGAAAGGAAAATCAAGGCAAAGAGCTGCGAGGCTAAAAAAAAAATCTGTGTCTGACAGAATTCAGCCTGGAAGTCAAAATGATATCACTGAGAAATAAATGTGGCTCTTAATAACAGACACATGTTAAACATTAAAAAAAAAAAGAAAGCAGATGTAGAAGGTGGATACATTCTAAGAGCAGCTCATTAAAAATATTTGATTTAATGGAAATAATTAAGAAAATGAATAATTAAATCATTCAACTCCACCTTGATCTTGACTGGCTACTGTACCTCCCAACTGGCTGTGTCCTCTCTGCTTCCAGGGAAGACCCCAGATCAGAAGAGTGTAACCATTTCTAGAAGAAGAACGTCCCCTCTACTTGCACTTGTGAAATGTGTGATGCAGCCAATGTACATTTTGAAAACATAAAGGTACAGCACAGAGTATCCAAATCCCATAGTGTAACCTGGTGTTTTGAAAACTTTCCAGGGTTGCCATCTCTCTTCCACCGGAATTTGCCTGCTCCGGAGGCAGTTTCACTCCATGGCAGGTGTGTAAGCCCAGTAAGTGCCCGAGTATGACACTCACCGGTTGCTACTGTTTAATACTTAAACCTAAAAAAAGCCATTTATAAGTTGACTTATTTTTGTGTCTTATTTCCTTGCAGTACAAGTTTCTACTTCTAGACTAGGGAATGTTACATCAACAATATAATTATTCATACCTTGTTTTAAATTTCATTACAGTTACTTTGAAGATTCATCGTGATTTCACACAGCACAGAGACACCAAACTAAACACCAAACAGCCAGCATTAGATGTATTTTTTCTTTAAATACCAATAAGCAAAATATCCCATTCCCCCCAAAGATCCCATAAGGAAGGAGGCTCCAAAGAAGGAGGGGGGTTTCCGTTTGACAAGCCGGAAGGCATTGGGTACCACGGCCGAGAGAAGGGTGGTGTGTATGTCTCCCAAAACTTTCCTGAAGGCAAAGCGGTTTTGTACCCTGTCAAAGAAGGACTGTAGGTTAGGTCTGCTGCCATCTTCCCAGTATTTTTTAGACAGTCCTAGAAACTTGAGGCGGTGCAGGGTGGCTCCCAGCAGGATGTCGGCCAAGGTAAAAACGCATCCGCAGAGCCAGAGTTCGCACTTCTGCCCTGGAAAATTAAGCCACAAAAACAGACAAGATGAGAACAAGCTCCTGTTTAGAAAATTGGGGCCTGGTCCAAAGCCCACTGAAAGCAATGGGGAGTCTTTCCACTGATTCCAGCAGGCTTTGGATTAGGCTCTAAGTAACGCTGCAGAGTTCGAGCTCATGAAGGAGCTGGTCTTCTGCAATGAGTTCCTAGGGAGTTGAATTGGGCCCTGGGGAGTTTTAAAAAGCTGGGCTGTGAGAACTTGCTGAATTTAGAACTAGTTGTGAACCTCCTCTGTGGGCTCATTATAGATGGTGGTTCCTTATCCTGCTTCCAGTGAGGTTAACGTCAAAACACCCTTTGGCTTCAGTGGGACCTAGTAAGTGTCCCAGTGCCAAATGAACAGCTGTCCTATGCACTCAGGGAGAGCAATTACCTTTGTCCTTGGCTGCTGGTTGAACATAGTGCAGTGTTTCAGAAATGAAGGAGGCCCCAGTGTCTCGGCCAGTACTGTTCCCCATTTTCTATATTAGGGACGCTAGAAATACTTGGGAATCCAATAAATTTCCTACAGAGTGTGGGACTCGGCATAGCTGCTGGTCCCGCGCCTCCAGCTCTTCCTGCTGCCACTAACAAGCACCCTCATGACCTCTGGCGGAAACTCTATTCCAAGACACCAGAATTATCAGCACTTCTGTGATGGGAATCAGATTGCAGGGGGAGGCAATATGTAATGCTGACAGGGGCTATGAGAACAGATACCACAGGGTTAAAGGCTCCCAGTCACAGGTTACCCTAAGCCATAATGTCACAGGAGAAGTGGTCTCAAAGAGAGTCTGTGATGGGGTGGAGGGACTCCTGCATCGGCACTGGCCAGGAGGGGGTTAAAACACTTCCCCAAACATCCTTCTATCCCTGTACCATGTTAACCGGCAGGGGCAGTGGCAGAGTAGCAGGTGAGTCTTGTTAGTGACAGCAGCTGATTCCCTTAAGAGTGGGGTTACATAAACTCACAGCGGAGCAAGGATTAGAGCTGAGAGAAGGGAAAAGGAGGTGGCAGGCTGGCTAGGCAGGGTTTCTCTCTCTCTCCCTTTAGGATTTTAGACCCCCCTGAATCCCTTGCTATGTTCTGTAGCTGTAGGAAGCTTTATTGTTTGATCCATGGGAGAAAATGTTTGGAAGTTAAATGCCCTTCATACATTTTTCTAAAATCAATAAACAGGCAAAATCTCTAGTGCTTCTGAGTGCTGGGACATGAGTAACTTTCCAATAATAAATCATTGGGTGCAGTACAGAGCCAGGGAGCCTCTCTACAATAATACACTAGTGTGTGTAGCAGAGCACTTAAGAGCAACCCTACAATATCAAACCAGGATTTGCAGGGTGCGAGTGCTCATGAACAGACCTGCAATGACAGACCTGTGAGCCTAGCCTGTAATGTGGGGAGCTACCCTCTGCTATAAAAGGTTACGCTTTAGTATGAGGTTAAAAGTTGTCACACACCCTGCAGGATATGATGCTAGACCACACTTCCTATGGACTCTCCCACAGACGCAGGGATGATCTTTTTTAGGAAGAGGGAGACAAAAGAATAAAGCCAGGCTAGATTACAGCAGCATCTGTGCTGTGTTGACTTGCAAGCCATTTGTTGTTGTTAGGTAAATAAGTAAGTTATCCTAAAACCTGCCTCAGTCATCTCTGAAATACCACAAACCCTTCATGTCCTTCTCTGAAGGACACCTCACTAATCTGAGGAGATACCAGAGGGTTGACAATAGCTAGAGGAGAAAGGGAAAGGCTAAGTAAAAGAAGAGCAGACCCAACCCCGAACAGGCCACGTTTGGGGGCCTGCAGGGGGATAGTGGTGGATTCCTAGAGCTCTGGGTTCATGTAGGGCAGTGGCATAGGGTGACGTCCAATCTGCTCATTAACAAACAGCTCTGTTTGTCAGAAAACCAACCTACTTTGGCATGAACCCCTCTTCCCCCCAGCTTGTTCTTCCTTGCCCTGCCAGCACTCCAGGCAAGGACTGTGTCCTGAATTATTCCTGCACTGTCCTGATTCTGTGGTAAACATTTAAATGGGGGCAGCTCTCAGCCCAATTCCACCCTCCGAATAAATTAGAGCTGTGGAACTAACGACAGAGAGAGAACTCCTGTGGACCAAAGGGAAGCCTAGCATTTCCCTTCTGAGGAAACCTGATCTCTGCCCTCTTTACCCTTCCTGAGCCTGTCCCCTTGTTCCAACCACGAAAGGGAAAGTCCTCCTCCGCTGGCGTATGCTCCCCTATCTGGGGATGAAGATGCTGCCGCCTCTGCTGTAGTGTAAAAACATGCATGCACTGAATCAAACCTTATTTGTTGTTTATTATTGCTGTTAGTTATTGCATTATTAACCCAATCTCTAGCCTTGCAAATGTCTATCACTTTACAGAGAGTAGGGAAGACACGGTCCCTGTTCTGGAAAGCTCGTTATTAGGCAAGTGGAGCAGAAACAGACAATTTTTGGCACTGCCCAGGCGGGGAGCTGCAAACAAGTGGTGCCTGCCTGCTTTGAGAGGCTGCAGCAATGGAGCTAATGTTAATGGCAAGGCCTGGTTTTTATTGGCTTGGCAGCTGTCCTAATACTGCCAGACACACACAGCAGGTGACAGCACCGGTGCCTACTGGCGGAAGGGGTTTTACAGCACTGGTAGGCGCCACGGGGGAGACAATCTCACCCCAGGACTCAGGCCCATGTCTATAACGGGCCAAACCTGAACACCCCTAGATAGCGCGGAAGTTCAGATTGAGGTTTTTCACAATGGGGGTCAGTCTCTAGTACAAAGCAGGGTGGCCGTAGCCCAGCATGTGAGTCACACATCGCCCAGTTTGTTCTACAATGCATCCCTGCCCTCTGTTAGAGAGGCAGGCCAAAGGGTGGCAGGTCCCAGCCCAATAAGCCCCCTCTGGCTCCAAGCAGCTGGGTAGCTGGAGCACTGCGCTTCAGGCCCTGTAGCCTCAGTGACTGGAGCTCTGGACTGAAGATGAGGGCTGCTGCAGTGCAGCTTGTGGCCCTGTCTAAGTGGGAAGGAAACAAAGTGCCTTTGAGAGACCTTAGCTGTGGCCCTTGGCTTCATGCCCCAGAAATCTCCCATCGGAGGGCACCATAATTAGTACTAAGCGTGAGCGTATCTGATAATGAGAGTATTATCTGCCATGATTAGCAGGTGTAGGCACAGACTCACTCCAGTGACTACATGGCTTTCCATAATCCCCGCACCTGTGGGATTTGCTGGGACTGAACTTGATAGCTATTAAGACTCCATGTTGCTTTTGACTGGGAATGACACAACTCCTATCACACTCAGGACCAGTTATCTTGCCCTGGAGAGTGAGATGGCTGCAGGAATCGTTGCTTGACGAACCAGTTCCAAGATCTGTTCCAAACCTGCCACCCACGATTTTCAAGCCCCCTCGGTCCTGCTTGTCACACTGCTTAGAACCACTTTCATTGCATAGTGTCTGAGAGCGTGCTGGGTGTTCACAGAAGTGACAGTCCCTGACCCAAAGAGCTTATAGCCTCCATTGTACTCATGACAATGAAAGAGGGTGGCTAACAGAATGAAGGGGGCAGGACAAGGAAACAAAAGATTAAAGGTTATTAAGAGAAGGGTGATTCCTATGAATCCTTTATTAAGTATCAGTGAGGATCTGTTCCTTTCATTGGCAGCATTGGCCTTTGGAATGACTCTGTTCAGAGCAGCAATCCCCAGGGGCTTCCCATATTCCTGGCAAGCCGTTTCCCTGTCTGTTGTACAGCAGCCCAGTTCCAGATGGAATCTTTCTCTGTTCACATGCCAGGCTTCCTGCGGGGGAGAAGCCCTGTTGGGCTGCTTTGCTCTTGACTGGTAATTGATAGCTTTCTTTTCATCAGGCTTTCACTCTCTGTAATTGGGAGTTAATTGAATCTTTCAGGCTTCTGCAGGCATTTTATGTAGTATCCATAAAATACCTGCCGTCCATGAGCAGCACAAACACACTCTGGGTTTTCCATTCACACTCCTGTCGGTTTCAGCACAGCTGGGGGACCATAACACCCCCATTCCCAAAGTCTCTGAGACTGGGCAGATGCTGGTGGTTCCTGCTGTGGCCTGTGTGCGCATCACAAAGCATTTACTGAGGGACAGCTGAACCAGTCATGTCCTTGGGAATAACCCTGCTTTTCAGGAAGGCTGATGCTTGATGACAGGCATCAGCACAGCCTCCTCCGGAAACCCAGACACCGGAGACTGGGCTGCTACGTCGATAATAGAACACAAGGGGAGAGGAATGACAAAATGGAAGAGAAGGAAAGCACAGGAACTGCAGTGTGACCAGTGATGTATATGAATTGTAACGTGTACTTTCTGATGGTCAGAGCATGGGATGTGCAATCATGAGGCCTGAGTTCTAGCCCCAGCTCTGACACTGACTTGCTGTATGACTCTGGGAAAGTCACTTAATCTCTCCATGGGTCCCTGTCTAAAAGGATACTGATCTACCTGACAGGTGAAGGGATAGTATGAGCCTTAGTCAATTGGTATTTGTGAAGCACTTTAGGATCTTTAAATGGAAAGCGCTAGAGAAGTACAAAGATTGAGGGTTATTCTTAATGGAAATGTCACCCCATCAATCTGTTTTCCCTGGCCCTAAACGTTCAGTGATAGATGATCAGAAATACCGGTGAGCAACTGCAGGCCTAATTTGCACAATCAATTTCCTTGACTGCATGCAAAAGTTGTCCATATGTATATGTAAATAATTAGTGAGATTTATAAATGGTCAATTGTGCACCCAAAAATCCAGGTTATAAATGTGCATTTACAAAAACTTTGCATGCGTATTAGGTGTACAATTGCAAATGCATTAAGAACAGAAGAACGGCCACACTGGGTCAACCAATGGTCCATCTAACCCAGTATCTGTATTTCATCTGCCATTCTGCTGCCCAGTCACCCTGTTTAGTGAGATCCTTTTGTAACTCTTTGTAGTCAGCTTTGGACTTGACTATCCTGAGTAATTTGTATCGTCTGCAAATTTTGCCACCTCAGTGTTCACCCTCTTTTCCAGATCATTTACCAATATGTTGAACAGAACTGGTCCCAGTATAGATCCTTGGAGGACCCCACTATTTACCTCTCTCCATTGTGAAAACTGACCTTTTATTCCTACCTTTTGTTTCCTTTTAACCAGTTATTGATACATGAAAGAACCTTCCGTCTTATCCCATGACTGCTTAGTTTGCTCCAGAGCCTTTGGTGAGGGATCTTGTCAAAGGCTTTCTGAACGTCCAAGCACATTACATCCATTGGATCACCCTTTTCCACAGGCTTGTTGACCCCCTCAAAGAATTCTAATAGATTGGTGAAGCATGATTTCCCTTTACACAGGCTGTGTTGACTCTTCCCTGACATACCATATTTATCTTTTTCTGATCATTTTGTTCTATAGTTCAACCATTTTGTCCAGTATTGAAGTTAGGTTTACAGGCCTGTAACTGTGAGGATAGCCTCTGGAGCCTTTTTTAAAAATTGGCATTACATTAGCTACCCTCCACTCATTGATACAGAGGCTGATTTAAGTGATAGGTTACAAACCACAGTTAGTGGGAATATTTTTCTACATTTTTTTTTGCAGTTTGCATCCATAATCACTGAGGCCTGGTTCACACTACAGAGTTAGGTCGATGTAAGGCAGCTTAAGTCGACCTAGATCTGTAATCATCCACACTAAAATGTAGCTCCCATCAGTGTAAACTTGCCCACTACGCTGACGTAATAACTCCACCTCCGCAAGAGGTGTAGCGCTTAGATCGATGTAGTTAGGTTGATGGAGTGTCAGTGGAGACACTGCGCTGCTTACCTCGACTGTTGTTGCCTTTCAGAAGCTGTCCCCACAATGCCCCACACTGACAAATCGACGCAAGCGCTCCCAACGAGGACATGCACTGCTGACTCAAGGAGTGCAGTGTGGACATGCAAAAGAGATTCAATTACTGCAGTCGCTGTATGTCGATGTAACTTAGGTCGACTTAATTTTGTGGTGTTGACTTGCCATGATTATCTTATAATATGCTATCACTTTGGACCTTTTGTATGACTCCCCCATTCCCAAGGAATTTCACAAATGAGTCACTGGGAGTGAATAGAAGCTTCTCGAATTAAACAAACGCCGATGATTTACAAAGCCATAAACCAAAGCCTGCACAGGCCAGTGCTAAAATGCACTGACAAGGCCACTTATTAGAAAAGACATGTTTATGCAGAAAAGGCCAGTCTTTAATCCACCCCACTGCCTGAGCAGTGAAGGCTGCTCAATCTCTCTCTACAGAGAGTGCCCTGCTGTGTAACCCATGAGCACTGGTTTATTTAGCTCTTTCTAACGCAGCTGTGTATTTCCAAACCCTACTCAATGCATCTGAGCAGAATTCCTTGCTCCCCTCCTGCTGCATGAGAAGTGGGACCATTCCAGGTTTTCAGTTATACTCCTGGCCTCCCTGAAGTTGCATTACTGATTGTAGTTCCTCACAAGCTTGCTTGGGCTTCACACACAAACTATTGTTACTTTGCAATGGACTTGGCCACAATGGGAGCAGAGGAAGTTCCTCTGCCCCACCCCAGCTCTGACGTTTTCTGGGGTCACTGTGTAATGTCAAAGCAGCTCTCACCACAACCTGGCTTCCCGTGTAGGCATATTCGATGGGAGGTGGGTGGAGCAGTCGATCTGAATGGCGAATAACAAGTCACACCACTGACATTTCACCATACCAGTTGAGTGCAATTACTCCTCTGCCTCTGAACTTTCATCTGGTTTCTTGGGTGGCTCATTATGAGGTGTCATCACGCAGCCAGCAGAGGGGAGTGAAAACAGGGAGAGAGGGATGTGTGGAACCATGTAACCTGAGCATCTGAGATCAGCAGGGAACCCGTAATCCCTTGTGTGCTGCACCACACAGGTGTTACTTCCCAAGTGGTTCCTCCCAAGGCATCAAAACAGTGTCACCCCAGGGATAAGGGTGACTATGGTAAAGAGAAGGAAATGCCTCACAATAACCACTGGATGAGAGGGTGTGACTGTCGTGGTGCTGCAAAGCTACTGCTCTGTACTGGGCCAGTGCATCAGCAGTGCCTTACAAAACACCTCACAAAGCTGCCTACCTTGATACTCGAGTTTCCTCTTCTCCAGCTCGGCCTCAATCTGGTCTAGTACCATTCCCAGCTCGCCAAGGATTTTCTTCAAATAGCTCACATTGTCGTGTTCCAGGATCTTGGCCTAAATAAAAGCCAAAGGTTTACCCTGAATGGGTGGCCCTAAGACCATACGTTCCTTGCACAGGTGCTCTTGGCACTAGACTGGGTGCAATGCAGAACGTACACAGCACCTTCTAAACCCCTTCGTCATTCTACTTATCCAACAGCTGTAGGAGGAGTTCACCAGACTCTGGAGAGGAGATTCACCTATGTAAAAGTGACTCCCTGCTGAGACCTACTCAACCATGGGGAGGCGACTTCCATTTTAGCCCAGCTCAGCACAGTTCCTACTAGCTTTGGCTAAGAGAAAGCAACTCCTAGCCCAAGGTGGCTTCCAGCCGAGACCAGCACAGCTGCTCACGGCTCAGCAAGGGGTGGAGGACTCCTAGGTGAGATGAGCACAGCTGAGCTCTTGCCACTTTGGCCAGTGGAAGCAACTCCCTGGTAAGAGCAGCTCGGCACAGATCCGACTGGATCAGCCAGAGAGAGGCACCCTTTGGGCTCACATAACGGAGCTGCTTCCTGGAGACCACACAAGCCCCAGCTGGCATCTCAGTTGCAGTAAAATTCAGGATGCCCCATAGGGAGCCCAGCCCCTGAGAGGGGTGGGGGGAAAGAAAGGCTCTACTAGTGGTTTCAGCTCACTTGGGAGTCTGGTCCCCAAGTGGTACAGACACAACATGAGGGTGACTTGGGAGGAAATATTCAGCACTTTAGAATGGACCCAAATGCTTCCCCGGGCTCTCAGTAGTATCAGGGACCCAGCAATGGGTGCCCTTGGCTGTTCTTTGGGGTCCATCCTCCCTTTCCCTTCGAGAAATAAAGTCCCAGGTGTTGCTGTAGACGTCTTACCATGAGTTTCTTCTGTTTGGAAAGGTATGGCTCGGTCAGCTGGGGCTCCCCTTCGTAGTCCAGCTTCATCAGCTCCGTGCTGGCATTAGCTAAGTGTCCTGGGGAGAGACAGAAGGACAGTTTGGGGGAGCTGTTGCATCCTCTCGCACTGCAGACGGAAGGCGAGTTTCAGCAGTGGTGATGCCGACCTGGCACTGTGTGAAAAGAGCCTCTTGGCTACGAAACTGTCATTCTCCCCCCATTCATTACGCCACGAAAAATGGTTTCTACTGCACACCTGTCTGTATAGTGGCCTCATTCAGCCTTGGTGACTTCCTTTTGAAACCATTCTTCTGTGGAAATGGTACATGTCCAGCTGAGGATGAGTCAATATTTTACCCCTGGGTGGTGGGCAGAATCCAGATCTATTTGCAGCCAAAAACTGCAGCTGCCCATGAACCTTGTGATTGTGCAAATCCTGGTAAAAACATGAAGGTAGATCCTCAGGTAAATTGGTGAGGTTCTCTTGAAATCAGTGTACACCAACTAAGGATCTGACCCATTAACTTTCACAGCAAATATTTGCCGAGCCATTTTGTTCAGCTCTGGCGGGTTTATCCTTGGAGAGTGTAACTGATAGGGATTTGTGAGCATCATCTAGAGAACAGTTTGAAAACAAGGCCGTTCATCTATAAACCACCTTGAGGTGCAGTTCATTTGTGTAAAAAGTGCTACTTGAATATGCAAGAACTTACAGTACCAGAAAGCACGTCAGCACATGCTTAAATCCCATTGAAACTGGTGCTTTTCTCAATCTGGGCCATGTCGAGCAAAATTCTGTTCTCAGTCCCACTGGTGGTTTCAATGCAGTTACTCCAGATTTTACAGAAGTGTAACTGGGATCTGAATCTGGTTTATTAATAATAATAACTGATCATTAATAAGCAACAGCCTGATTTAAGCTAGAGATGAGAACACTTTCCACTGTGAGCAAGAGGCATGGCTAGCGCCATTATACCAGGAAGATACATACTACCCCAGCAACAAGGAGTACGAATAGCCTCCCTGGGCACTTCTATGGCCTAAGCCTGACCCTGCATTTCTTTGGGATCCCAAACTCCCAGTGAAGTTACTGGGATTTGGGGATGTGGCAGGAATGCAGGACTTGGCCTATAATAACAACACCTTAAGTATAGCTAGATGTACAGCAAGGTATGCAGTGCACGTTCACCCTTCCTCTGAGAATCACCTATCCAGAACACTTTGCTTTTGGTAGCAGATGAAGCGGTGAACAGGTTACTAGATTAGAAACAGACACCTCTGCAGACTCTTCAATGGATAAGATAGCCCAGTAATGACTCTCTTCCCCCTCGCTTTCCTGTGCCTCCCTTAAATGATCACTGGTAATTATGACAACATCAGTGGCTCAGCAAGATGCAGAGCTAGACTATAAATCAGCCTCTGGCTTTCCCTTCATTCCCCCGCACAGCCAGAGTGATTAATGTCTGTCCAGTATCACAGCCAGCCCACTGCTCATCTCCTTGAGAGGGGCGAGGTGTACCTGGCATAGCGGCCTAGGGTTGGGGAGAGGGTTGCGAGTACGATACAGATATTTCCTTATCCACCCCCCTCACTCTGCTGCAAGTGAAAGTTGGACCTGGCTGTTTATCCAGGTCACGGGACTGATTTTAAAGAATAGTTATGCCATTTGGTAGAGTCAGTAGTTTCCGTGCAAGAAGAACCCAGCAGTGGAATACAGAGTGAGTTGCAGGCAGCTTTGGGGCATGGGCAGAGCTGTGTCTGCGGAGCCTAGGACCCAGAATAGCAGTGCATGCTGTGGGTCAGGATTGAGATGATCAGCAAAGCCCCCCATCCTCCTTCTCTCTAACTCTGTTGCTAGATCAGGAGCCTTGGCGATTGGGGAAGATAGGGATGGAGTCTGCCCCACATTTCCCCTATACCTGGCTCAGTTCCGTTCTTTTACTCTGTGATTTACACATGCATCCTACTGTGGATCATAAACAACTCAGAGAAAGAGAGTTCTTCATTCATCACCCAAAACTTCTTTAACGAGAGTCCAGGTTGACCGTCAGGGTTTCGTGAGTGCATGAAAGTTGAGTGCACTTAGACTTAACCCTCTGAAAACCAGGAAATGCAGAGTTAAGGTGCATGCCAGTCCCGCCCCCAGAATCTTAACTCTGCCCTCTATAAGGGATGCCATAAAGCGCCCCGGCAGACATCATAGCTCACTATCCTTCTGGGTGATATGGAGCACTGTGGGCACGACATGGAGCACGAGACAAAAACTGTCAGTCCATGTCCGTGCTAAGGCAAAAGTCACATTTAAGGTGGGCTTAGTGATCACCAGCTGTCTCTACCCGGCCTAGACCAAACCACTTCACCTGCTCTGCACAAACCATCCCAGAGATGCCAGATGTTTCTACCGTTTGTCGCTTGTCCTAAGGATTCTCTCTAGGACATCACCTACACTTATCCCTGCCCATATGGTTATGTTTGCTATCAGAAGAATCTAAAGAGCAACTAACTAAAGACACAAAAACTAACAGCAAATATTTTTGTGAGTACGCCAAAAAGCAGGAAAGATGCCAAACAGTCAGTGCGACCACTGGACAATCGAGGTGCTAAAGGAGCACTCTAGGAAGACAAGGACAGTGTGGAAAAGCTAAATTAATTCCTTGCCTCAGGCTTCACTGAGAGAATGTGGGGGAGGTCCCCACACCCGAGCCATTCTTTTTTGGTGACAAATCTGAGGAAATGTCCTAGATGGAGATGTCAGTAGAGGACATTTTGGAACATATTGGTAAGTTAAACAATAATACATCTCCAGGACCAGATGTTATTCACCCAAGAGTTCTGAAGGGACTCAAATACGAAATTACAGAACTACTAACTGGTATGTAACCTATCGCTTAAATCGGCCTCTGTACCAGATGACTGGAGAGTAGGTAATGTAATATCAATTTTTTAAAAGGCTCCAGAGGTGATCCTGGCAATTACAGGCTGGTAAGCTTAATTTCAGTACCAGGCAGATTGGTTGAAACTATAGTAAAGAACAAAATTATCAGACACATAGATAAACATGAAAGGTTGGGAAGAGTCAACACTGCTTTTGTAAAGGGAAACCACGCCTCACCAATCTGTTAGAATTCTTTGAGGGTGTCAACAAGCATTTGGACAAGGGTGATCCAGTCGATTCAGTGTATTGGACTTTCAAAAAGCTTTTGAAAAGGTTCCTCACAAGGCTCTTAAGAAAATTAATCAGTCATGGGATAAGAGGGAAGGTCCTCTCATGGTCAGTAACTGGTTAAAAGACAGGAAGCAAAGCGTAGGAATAAATGGTTAGTTTTCACAACTGAGAGAAGTAAATAACAGGGTCCCCCAAGAATCTGTACAGGGACCAGTGCTGTTCAACATATTCATAAATGATCTGGAAAAGAGGGTGAACAGTGAAGTGGCAAAATGTGCAGATGATAAAAATTACTCAAGATAGTCAAGTCCAAAGCTGACTGCAAAGAGTTACAAAAGGATCTCACTAAACTGGGTGATGGGGCAACAGAATGGCAGATGAAATGGAAAAAATTATCTTAAATATACATACAAAATGATGGGATCTAAATTAGCTCCAGAAAGAGATATTGGAGTCATTGTGGATAGTTCTCTGAAAACATCTATTCAAAGTGCAGTGGCAATCAAAAAAGCGAACAGACTGTTAGGAACCATTAGGAAAGGGATAGATAAGACAACTGAAAATATCATAATGCCACTATGTAAATCCATGGTACTCTCAGACATTGAATAGTGCATCAGGTCTGGTCACCATATCTCCAAGAAGATCTATTAGAATTCTAAAAGGTGCAGAGAAGGGCAACAAAAATGACAAGGGGTACGGAGCAGCTTCCATACAAGGAGATTAAGAACACTGGGACTGTTCATTTTAGAAAAGAGACTACTAAGGGGAAATATGATAGAGGTCTATAAAATCATGAATGGTGTGGAGAAAGTGAATAAAGACGTGTTATTTACCCCTTCACGCAACAAAAGAACTAGGATCACCCAATGAAATCAATAGGCAGCAGGTTTAAAACAAACAAAAGGAAGTATTTCTTCCCACAATGCACAATCAACCTGTGGAACTTGTTGCCAGGGATGTTGTGAAAGTCAAAAGTATAACTTGGTTCAAAAAAGAACTAGAGGAATTCATGGAGGATAGGTCCAACGACGGGTATAAGCAAACATGGTCAGGGGTGCAACCTGACCTCTAGGTGTCCTGACTTCCAACTGCCAGAAGCTGAGACTGGATGACAGGGGATAGATCTCTTGATAATTGCCCTTTTATGTTCATTCTCTCTGAAGCATCTGGCACTGGCCACTGGCTGAAGACAGGATTCTATTGGTCTGCCCAGTATGGCCATTCTTATGTTCTTACACTGGTACAAATCCCCATGGCAAGAATAGACCATTTTGCTCCTCTTGAACAACCACCATGACTCAGCCCAGAATTAAGGAGTCTGTGATCTCTCTGGATTCAGACGCACCTCTCCTAATACCACAGAGCAACCTGCTGCAAGCAGTCCTTGCACCAGGCAATACACTGTCCCTAACACAGTGCAGGGTAGCTGGAGTGCATACCAAAGAATGAGAGAATGCAATTCTGTGGGACACAACACACTGCAGAAAATGCCACATTCACCAAGTCATGCCTCTTACCTGCAGCCCAAGGGCAGCCCTTGCTGAAACATACTTGCAGCACATTTCAAGCACTTAACAGCTGGTAAACAGTAAGCTGGTCTCAACCTTAACAATAGTGGTGGCACAGTCCCACTATAATAATAAAAGCTAAATGCCATGTCATCCCCCAGCAGGTTCATCCCAACCCCAGTGGGGTTCAAATGATTTTCAGCTCTTCATTTCCTCTTCTGGATTCCTATTAGAGCTGCCAGCATATGTACTTTTTAAAGCTTTCCTGAACACTTGCTGTGGCATACCTTGCTGTCGCAGCTTTATCCCCATCAGATCAGCAGTTTGTGTTGTGTTCTTTTAACTCTCATTTGCCTTGTGCATACAAAATAGACATTGCTGGGACCTTTATAAGAGCTGAGCAAATGGTTTATTAATTACAAACTCTACCTTTGAAATTCTGTATATCTGTTCCCCTACGAGCCCTTCAATGCCACTGTTATGTAACAGCAACTCCTATCAAGCCTGACAAACTCACTACACCTAACACATTGCTGTCATGATATTTATCACAAAGAATGTTGTGTGAGATATCAAATGAAAGTCAGTGACACACTAGTCATTAATATCACTTTGAAGTGTACGTATTAACACTGTATGAGGAACTACCGATATTATGCTTTAAAGTCTGTGACCAGAGAAAGGGAGAAACAGGTTTTCTTCCAGTCAAGAGGCAGGATAGTTATCTCCCTGTCTCTAATGTAAATTGAGCAGAGTGATGCCAGAGACAACAGGCAGTTCATTTGCATCAGAGGTAAACAGGAGGAACAAATTAACATGAGGATGTGAACTCAGCATGGGAAGATGCTGGAGTCTGAATGCCAGGGGTTCATCATGACAGTGGTGACACAGACAATAAACTTGGCGGGAATACAAGGAGAAGCAAAAAGAAATTTTGGTAATCCACCACTGAGGGAACAAAGAGGTCAGTGCTCTTTGCATCCATGAACTCTGGATTCCCCACCATGTGGGTTGGTGATGCTAAGAAGTAGTGGTAGGTGAGAAAACTGCCTTAATACAAGGTTTGTAGCCTGCCAAATTTAGTCACTCAAAAGCTCATTATACTTTTGTTTTGTTTGTAACCAGTTTGTTCCTATTATCCTTGCCCATTATCACTTAGATCTCTGTCCACTATTAATAAACCTGTTATTCATTTTACTATAAGTTCATCCCAGTGCAGTGTGGTTACGTAAAGTGCGAAACTTCTGCCGAGCCAACAGGCTGGTGTGTACACTGTCTTGGAGACAGCAGACTTGGTAATCTCTGGGAGTGTCCAGTGGCAGGGGCTGGACACTGCAGAGGAATGCACTTCTGGGGGGGAGGGCGGGAGTGTTGGGGACTAGGGTGTATCAAGCGTTACCTGCCAGGCAAAGAGGGCTGGCAGAGTCCTAGGGAACTTGGTTGGCTGGCTAGCAACCTGGGGTGACACCCGCAAATCTCTCTTTTGCTAAGGCAAAGGGGTAACAAGGTCAGCTGGAGTTCTGGTCACCCCGAGAAAGCATCCCAACGTTTACCTCCCAAGCAAGGAGTACTCAGTCAGTCCTGCCAGGGCACTTTCTCCCTCTAATGAATGTGCCGTCCTAGGAGCTGAGGAGTTCAGGATTACAATAGTAAATAATAAATGGCTTTAATGGTATGTTCTTTCATCCTACATCCCTCTCTCTCTGTTCTGCATCTCTCACCCACTGGCACTAGATCCTCTGACAAGGTGGCTGCCCAGCAGCTCCAGTCCGAAATGCACCCTGGCTTCTTGGTTCCACTGATCCAATGGACTGGCATAATCCTGACCCTAGAGAACTTCTTTTAGTCATACAGCTTGAAGCCTTTTACTTCACAACAGCGTTGTCATCAAGTCTTCATAGGCATGCAGCAAAGGGAAAAGAACCCACACTCTTATGCTTGCTTAGACGGTACGCTCTTTGGAGCAAGGACCGTCTTTGTAGTCTGTGTTTGTCCAGTGCCTACCTCCTCGGGGCTACTGCAATATAAACAGATACTGATAATCATCACTGTGCTCCAAAACCTCAAGGTGGTACTCAGTAAATTGAAGTAGTGGCACTAACTTCACCAGTAGAAGGGTCTACTATCCACATGAGCAGATCTGCTCCCACCCATTAGAAAGCAATAGTGTGCGTGTGCACATAGACACACACACGTGTGATGGAGTGCAACCATCTCGACATAAGAAACCTACTGATGTCAAGAAAGAGCCCACCATACGCACTGACCAATAGGAAGACTTGAGAAGGGAATGAGATAGAAAGGGAGGTGGTGCTTAACCTGAGGTACATAGGGAGAGGATAAGTAAAATGGGGAAAGAGAAAATGAAACAGCAAAAGACCCTGAAGAAAATCTGGCCGAGAAGGACCTTATCAACAGTAGAAATTTGATTGTCTGTGATGCATGAGCCAAGCTTGAATTCCAGGTCCTAGGATGGGCTTGTCAAAGGTAAAAAAATCTTTGTACTTGTAAACAATGATCCATGAGCCATTCTGATCCAGAGTCCTTGAGAGGCAATACCGGTGGGGCCCTCCAGTGTCATTTTGACAATGTCACTTTCCGGAGGAGAACAGTGCTTTAAGAGTAGTCCTTGCAGCTGAGTTATATTAAGTATTGTCAATGTTTCATGAATGCTTGAAGGTCAAGTACACAATCTTACGTCGCTTCATCCAGTGTCTGTAATTGAATCCCTGTGCAGTCTCCCCGTATGACCTTTAAATGATTGAAAATAATAATGAAATAACCCACTGGAGGTGTGGGGAAGGAGAGGAAGAAGGAGAGCAGGAGAGAGCACACATGAAAAAGAGCAGAGCAGCAAGGAGAAAGCATGCATGAAAGAGATGGAGAAAAAGAGAGACAAGGAGAGGGAGGAAAGAGAGGCTGTGATTTGGACACCTGATGTGGTCTGTTGTGATATTCCTCCTCCTGCTCAAAACAAAAGTACTTGGGTTTCAGGGAAGGCACTTGGCAGTCTTTGGGGGTAGAGTCCCTCCCCCAACCCACAGGCAGGCCACAGGGCTAATATATCCTCCACCACCTCACTCACATACCCATGGCTGCTACTCCACCTACCTGGGCCTTGGGGGCCACTGGATCCACACAGGCCTCTTCCACGCAAAGCCCTGCACCCATGCTGGCCTGTTTAGTACTGGTGTGGATCCCCCTCCATGGTGTGAAGGGGGTAGATAACCCCTTTGTGGCCAGGACTCCAAAGTCTGCACTCGCCAAAATGCACAGCCCCATTGGGCGTCAGTGGTTCAGAGGGCTTTCTCAGTCCTCATGAACCGACAGCACATGTTAGAATGGAATGCGCTCGGCAATCACGTAAACCTGGGCCCTAAGCGTATGCAGCACATGCCCTGTTTGACGCAGTCTCTGAGCTGTAATGTGCAGGACAACAATCTCTCCTACCAGCGCCCCCTCAGCAATAACAGCTAATGCATCCAAATGCAATATGCTTTATAAAATAATGAAGGGTGCAGCATGTCCTCCACCTGCATGTATGAATAAAACATCTGCAAAGGGCCCAGTAACTGAGAGCGATAATGTTGGTCCTGGTTGCATGGAGGCTGATCCTTCTGAACCATGACTAGATGGACTCCTACCCTCTGCCCCAAAGGCTGCAGTCAATTTCTCTGTCTCCTTTCCAGACCATCTGCTACCTTAGTTGTTTGGAATCAGAACCACCAAGCCATAATTCTCTCAAGTGAATTACAATGCCATAGAAAGCCGTAAAGAGGCTGCTCACTGGCTGAGCATCTTAGTCATGACTCTGGCAGAACATAGTGCCCGGATGTTAGCCACTCTGGGTCAGGTTCAGTTCTGACTTAAAATAATACAACTCCACTGAAGCCCGACGGACTGGCACCTGCTTGTGCCAGGGCTGGAGCTGGCCCTCTGGGTTTTTATGTCTGTATCTATTATGATGACAAGGCTTTGACAGCAGCTCTTCTTGATGCTGAAATTGCACCCCATTGCATGCTCAGTGCCTGGTCATGAGAGCAGTCCTGCAGCTCCTATTGTAGCAGGTACAAAATCCCCATCTGCCTCTCTGGTCACAGGGTACAAATATCAAACAGGAAAGAGACAATCGTCTTGGAGAGGATGATAAGCCCCATCTGGGATCATGCGAGCAGTGCCCTGGGCAACACCCTGCAGGAAGATTATTGTCCTAGAGAAGGGGACCCAGATGGAAGCAAGGGTGATACTATGTCCAGAGGCTCTACCTCACTGTCTCACAGGGACCCAGGGATGCTCCTTGCCACTCAGCAGTTGACTGTGAGTAGAGTTGTGCGGGAACCAGAATTTCCATTTTGTGAAATGAAAAATCACAACGTTCCATTTAAAAAATGCCAGAATGGAATGTTCCAACATTATTGAAACAAAATTTTGACATGATCCCCCCCCGGAAAATAGCAGGTTCAACTAAATGGCATTTTCCAATGGAAAAACTTCCTGTCCAAAATGTTTCTACCAGCTGTAGCTGTAAGCTCTGGGGAATGGTTAAGGGTTGATCCACCATGAGAAAAGGAGACTGAGATTTCCAAAGTGGCAGGATTTCCATTGTTTCAGGTCTATTTTCCACGCTGGGGAGGGGCACGGTGTAAAAGGTGAGTGACTTGGAGTAAATGGGGAACTCGTGCAGAATTGCTTTGAACCAGAGAGAATAAATATCTGGAGTGAAGCTCCCGGAGAAGGCAACTGAAGTAAAGAGCATACAGGAGTCTGAGTGACACCCGACGTTTGCTTCCAGAGAAGCCAGCGTATTGGGTCAGAAAGCCACTGGACTGTCTCCTGTTCTTCAAGGAAGAGTTCTGCTTTGTCTCCTGGGCACCCTGCTGAGCCCATCTGATTGAGCAGGCCCCGACGGAGGGCTGAAGTCACGGAAGGTGAAATGTAGTCACATGCCCAAATGATGTGCAGTAGCACAGGGGAAAGAAGTGATGCTGCTTACGCTGCATCTCCTATGCCCTTGTGTTTTGAAAGGTGTGTCAACAGCACCTGTCGGTGTGGAGTTTGCATAGGGACAAGATAGAAAGAAATAAACATCCCCCACCATCCCACTGTTCACTAGCGGTAGGCAGCCCTGCTAAGGAGGCAACTTACTGCGGATTTCAGCTGTAGCGTACTTTGGAATCATGGAGTCAGTGGTGAGCTCGGGATGGAGGATGCAGCCGTGAGTGTAGGCGTCCATGGGCAGTGAGTCCAGGAGCTCTCTGTACTGCACCACTCTTGTATGAAGAATGCTCCCGGCATCGGGGATCAGCTGGGTAACGTTTTCTGAAACGTGGAACAAAAAGTTGGCATTGGTTACAACTACCATACGTCAACTTGTTCCCATGTGACTTGACTATCCCCAGGCCACAGGGATGATCAGAGATTGATTTAGGGTGGCTCATTACTTCCTGTTTTGCGACACCGGTTTGTGTTTAGCTTGTGCTAGTTCTGATTAGAGATGGAATCAAACCATTAATTGAAACACCTTCCTTCAGAATGTTGGGGGCTCAAGTGAACTTAACCCTGGAGCTAAGCTTTCCTGGTTTGGTTGGACAGGTCCCTCCTGTGCACTGGTTGATTAGGTTGATCATGTACAGTATGCCCTCCCCCCGCACCCATTGAGCGTAAATGTTCAGGACCTGGGTCTCACAGTCAGTGAGTATCTGCAGCTCCTATTGAATTTAGTGGTGGTTGCAAATTCTCTGCATCTCTAAACATCAGGTGCTGAGTTCTGTTCCCAGGAAAGCAAACTGGCACCAATCCTCTGTATCCGGGATTGATGACATTTTCTGAATGCCCTGTGTATGGAGTTCTAGGGCAACAGAACTATTTTATGATACTCTTTATTCCAAGTGCGGTCTCTTGGCCAATCAGTGCACAGCCACAGCAACTCTCTATAAACCAGATCCACCGCGTCTGCTTTAGCTGTATGCTAATTCCTGGATGCCAATTGGGGCACTGCCAAGCACCCACAATCATAACACTCAATAATAACAGCAATACTTAGTACTTATATGGCACTTTACATCTTCATAGTTCTGCTCTAATATTAACTACCGTTAAGGTCAACCCTGGCTGTGTTATGCAGCGCGTCATCAGCCCACAATCACTGACACAATCACATTTGTGTGAGAGCTTTCTCTTCCTGGCTAACAACATTCAGTTCCTTCTCTTCTTGCCAAAAAGTGTGAGTTAGTGGCCTGATTTTCAAAGCCACAGCCCACCAGGGTTGTTTACAATGGCAAGTCTAATATATCCATGTAATTACTGTGAGTTCACATGCAAATCACATGCAAACGGACCCTTCTGATCATCTTCAAGCAGTCTCAGTAATTATGCACACAAATTAGGCACACTGTGGCACATACATCTTTGGCAACAGCCCTTGGCTGCGGGGTTTCTAAGAAAGGAGGCTCACGATGTCTGAAAGCTTCTTTCTGTTTGAGTACAGCACCAGAGCACCTCACAACTGTGAACGTTCATCTTCGTATCCCTACGAGGTAGGAAATATTCCTGAATTGAGACACAGAGTGATTAAGGCTGGGATTTCCAAAAAGAGCTTAGTGGAGTTAGGCACCTCTTGAATCAGTGGGGGTTGGGTACCTAATTCCCTCGGACGTCTTTGAAAATCTCAGCCTAAGTGACTGGTCCGAGGTCCCACAGAAGGACTGTGGGGGTGCGAGGAATTGAGTCCAGCTCTGTTGAGGCCCAATTCAATGGATTACCCACAAGATCACCTCTCTTCTCTAGTCGGGACATGTAGTTTCTCAGTCTGTTTTGAATCATTCAGCTTCTGTAACTTTCAATGTTTTATGGCTTTGCTGTTTCTAGGCTTATTTTTCCTGGTTCGCTTCACGCTGGTAGTATGAGCTATAGGGGCCAGTTGGTAGCATTCTTTTTATTAGACTCACTGCTGAAAATACAGAGGGGATGACACTGGAATGAGGGAAACATTATTTTTCTGGGCCATTTTTATGGATTTTATAGATCGCTTTTAATGGCCAGTGAAGTAAATTTACCACGGGGGCTCAGTTAGCCATACTGCCTGTCTGCTGTCTGCAGTGCAGTGCTCTCTTCCTGAGTTTCAAGGGGCCTGGCTCTTGATCTGGGATAAAGAAATTAAAGTTCTAGGGAGACATTTTGTAGACATTGGCTCGCATTGCGTCTTAATTAAGGACCTGAGCTGACAGCCCTTCCAATGGCGTGCAGCCTCCTCTGAAGTCAGTAGGACTTACTCACTGGCATGCTGCAGAATCCGACCTGATCTGTGTTTTCACTGCAGATGTACATTTTGCCAGTCAGTTCAGGTACAGGCCACATAGCAGCCGCCAATACTCACAGAGTAATGCTTCATTTAGACATATGCAAATCAACAGTGCTGGTTTTTGTGTTGCAAACCTTACTATTCCTGCTTCAGGGATCTTCAATAGCTAAATAAAGGTCTGGGATCGTGCCTGCCTTTTCTCGCTGAAAGCTGGTTATGGCATCTGAATGGCTTTGTACCGCCAATACAGGGTTTTGTACATGCCAGGGGATTTTGCAGGTGCTTCCTGGAAACCCAGTGAAAATGTGGCCCCAAAAAATCACTGAGGATTTAAACAGTTCCTGGAGAACATCTGATTTCTTCTCAGCTGTGATTGGATGAAATCTTCCACTGGTCCCAGGACTTCCATTTCCTTGCACCAAGCACGGAGTCAAACCAGGAAGTCCTCAGTTTTACTCAGCCTGTACTCTGGCAAACTCTCACTGACTTCTATGGGTGTTTGAGCATGAGCCCCAAGATTTGGGTTATAGCTATAGCCGTGGTACATCCTCACACTGAAAAGCACATCAGACTTGGGAGGGAAATAATCCCTGGTAGCTGGTGTGTAGTGCTCTGCATCTTCAAGCCCTGTTTAAACCCTAATTAAACCTCATCACCTCCCTCTGAGGTGGGTAAGTAAGTGCTATCCGCAGCAATGGGAAAGGCTTGTCCCGAGAGATAAGTGAGCTGGCTATTCCCTAGGATAATATAAATCTAGAGTCTATAAAGTACTAGTAAATGCACTATCGAGAACATTCCTGGCCTGGCCCCCAGGGATGAACTGCATGGGACCAAGTGAGGTGTCTCCATTGTTAGTTTTGGGGATTCTATCAAATTAAACCCTTTCCCACTGAATTTTTCAGACTGAGATTTTCACAGCTTCTAAACATGATGTGGTTGAGCCAAAGTCCTTCATGGGGCTGCTAGTTTGCCGTTCACCTTCATGCTGCCCCTGGACCAAGTACAAGAGCCAAGATCCCAGCCACAAATGGGGACTTTTCATTTGAGACCAACCACCAATGGAATTAAATAACACTACTATAGAATCCCCCCAGCGCGCATGTGCCTTCCGCTGGCTCCCAGCCAGCATCGTACCAGTTCATGCCGAGGTTTCCCGGGTTGGAACCCAACACATTCAGAATAGCCAGCCCTTCAAGCAAGGCTATTCAGTAACCACACTGAAACGCAACAGCTCCGGCTGTAGACCCACTCCCTTCAGCTGGTGTCGGAGGCATTAGCTCACCGGAATGGCACCGGTTCTCTCTGTTGGTCACTGAACAAACTCCACATATTGGGCCGATTGCTGCTGATGCCCTGTTATATGTGACTCCACAGGGTATTGCTGGTAACTAACAGAGCTAGGCTCTGCTTCAAGCCTGCGACAAAATGAAGCCTTGCAGATATCTATCCTTAGTATAAAGAGCACTTCCAGGATTGAAACATTTTTATGGGGTGAGTGATTTGTCTCGCCAGCATCAGCTTCTAAAGACTGGCATTGCAGGTAAAGCCAGAATGGGCTGGACATGATTCCAGAGCTTGTTAATATGACTAATAGAACTGCTAACCAGGGTCAGAGCACTTTTTTCCCCTTCCCATCCCCTTCCCCAGCACCATGGCAGATCTGTAATTATCTTTCACTCTAGGAGCTGTTCCATGTCACTGGCTAGGTCAATGCCTTCTGCTGGTGACAGGATGCTATCACATGTGCATCTTCTGCCCTCATTTAGATGTGTGCAACCCTAATGGAGACAATGTAAAGTCACATCTGTAAGGGGGAGCTCACTGGGGATTAGAAATTAGTGAGGTTGCATTAATAAAGCAGAATACGGCCCGCTGAGCCAAGTGTCTGAGAAGAGACTTTCAGACTGAACAAAATCTGGGTCCTGGCCTGGTCCATAAGCAGGAACCTCTGGGAAGCTGGGAGGGTTGGTGACAAATGGTCCTTTGCTTTGTTTAAGATGCATTTGTTGAAACTTTGGGCATTCAGCAGAGACCAGCCAGTTCAACTAAACCTAAAAAAAGCCTCCAATTGGGTGGGGAATCTTCCTGCTTTCGCTGAATGCCTTCTCTGAGCCATGTGAGAAGGGAGTGCTGGAGTCAAGGAGAGGAGGGCAACCGCTGATCCGCCAAGGCTCCCTTGTGTTCGGAATCTATTTTAAGATGTTTTTTAAAGTCTCTCCATTCCTAAGGTGACAGGCTGTGTGATGAGCGTCGTGATGACAGAGTTAAAACCTCCCTCCTAAGCCTTTGAAGTCTCCCGGCTTGCTCATCCCAGTCTGACAGCCCTGAACTGGCCAGCTCTGCTCTGGCAAATGAAGGGAACTCAGGAAAGCACTGGTGAGTCATTGCCTCAGCAGAGAGACCTGGGCCCTCTCTCTGTGCACCCGTAGGGTGAAGCACCAGGGCAGAGCAGTGTGGGGGAGCTCGCCCTGCCACTAACCAGGCTGCATTTGCTCTGGATAAATAATGGGATTCACTCCTCAGGGATGGCAATTCTGTGCCGCTCACTAGCACTACATTCATGTAACACCAAATGTAAACATCTCCCCTCCAGCCCTCCTTAACGGCTGCCATCCCCTTTCATTTCCTCCCAACTGGCAATATACCAACCTGCCCTCCGACTGCAGTCACTCACCAGCTCAGCCCCAGTGCACTAAAAGCACAAGCAAAACCCTTCCCGGGCACAGTCAAGAGAGAGGAATGTCAGAGCCCGGTGCTACTGGCCAGGATGCCAGAGCAAGCTGCTTTTGGCAGGCTATGAAAGCTTCACGTCAGACAATGTGACATCCTGCTAGGGGGCAAAACCCTGCAGAACTATTAGGTCTAAGCAGAGGTTGAGCAAAAACCACAATTGGCACTGATTTTGCCAAATCTCACTGGCCCTGGCTGGTTCAGAGCTAGGCCTCATTTTATCCAAACTCATAAAGGGTGGAGAGTTGAATAAGTGGCTCCAGTTTCACCCCATCTCTGCACATGAACTCTCATAATGATGATGCATAGAAAGAAGAGAGTTGTCACAGCTGGGGATCGGTGAAGTGGCCTGGAACATAGCCCAGAACTCAAACCAAAGACAAAAACAGTAGTCCTGCTGGGGAGCCTGACTCATAAAGGAGAATGGGGACACGAAGAGCACGAACTACAACTCCCATAAGGCACTGTGGTGACATTTCCCAATTGAAATGTTTGGTTTTCAGCTGAAAGTTTTCAGTTTTGGCTGAAAATGTTTTGGCTTTGGAATGTTTTGTTGTCAAAGAAAAGCTGAAATTTTCCTTGAAGAGCAGACACTTTTCACCAACAGCTTCCTTGAGCTGAAACCCAATTTTCCACCAAAGCCCCATTTTGATGATGAATTTTGACCCACCCTTCCTTACCTCCTGTGAAGTTCTTCTCCATGTAGTCGATGATCTGGTTGTAGTCACTGACGATGTTGTCTCCATGGATAATCACGGGCACCTCCTCCCCGAGGTTGAGACGCATGAACCAGGGCTCTTTGTGCTCAGTCAGGGGCATGCTGACATCCCGCTCCTCGCACGGCAGCCCCTTCTCTGCGATGACCAGGCGGACCTACAGTAGGAAGCAGGGCAGAGAAGTCTGATTGCTGCCCACCAGGCTCTGTATATGGTCTCCCATACCCACAAAGTTCACAGGACAGTGATGCTCAGCCACTTGTGGCTCTTTGGGGCCCAGTGCTGCACAGGGCTGATTGGAGCTCCTCTTCCCAGTGGGCATTCAGTAGAGTGCCCATCCTAGGATTATTCCTCATGCCACCTGACACGTACTATGGAGCAGGACATCAGGAGGAGCCCTGACCCCAACATACCAGAGTCTCTGGCATCTCTTCCAGAAGCCAAGAAGGAGGTAGAAGGCAGAGGTGATATTTTGTTACCCAGTCTCAGAGAATCACAGAAACTTTTTATTTATATTATAATTTCTAGGACCAGCCATCATGTTGTTCTAGGTGCTGCACAACACAGAACAGACAGCCCCTTCCCCAAAGAGCTTACAACCTAAATATAAGACCAGACAACAGATGAATACAGATCAATAGGGGAATACAAGGAAACAATGAGACCATATTGACCAGCATGATAGGCAGTGGTCTCTGCACACCAGCAGTTAAGTGTTTTGTAGGCCTGGCAGTGAAGGAGAGCTGTAAGGAGGGTTTTGAAGGTGGATAATAAGTTGGGTTTGTGGATGTTTATGGGGAGCTTCTCCCAGGCATGAGAGGCAGCTTGGGAGAAAGTGCGAAGGTGCTCGTTTGAAAATTTAACAAGTTAGTGATGGCAGGTGGTGTCACGGGCTGATCAGAGACAGGCATAATCTCAGCATGCTGTCCTCCTCTTGTGCCATTATGTTTCATCACAATGGCTCCTCCGAATGCGATATCCTTGAGACACAATGACACGCCATGATACACACATTGCAAATCTAGGACAGGACAGCATCAGGTGATTATTGGGCCCCTCCCTTACATGCCAAAGTGGCTGACGGCACTTATACATGGAGTATCGTTGCCATAGCAGGGGAAGGCTTGCTGTTTTCCTCGCTCCGGCCAGTCAGTGCTCCCTTGGGAACATTTCTGGTTCCAAAAGCAGAGGGGAGTGTCATGGTGAGAGGAGAATGCAAATGTCCAACAGGGAGAATCCTGCCACGTCTTGCAATCCCCTCCCCTTTCCCTTTGTTTTCCTAGCACTCCATGCGGTCAGACAGCCTTATACCCCACAGTTCCTGCTCTGTGAGACAGTCTCCATCTATCTCTCCACCTTGCATCTCTTTCCTCCTTTGCCTCTGTTCGCTCCCTGGCTCCTGTTGTTTATCCCTGTGAAAGATTTGGGGTGATATACTTTGGATGAAGATGCTGTACATAAAGGTCCCTCGTTGTCTGTAACTTCCTTCTTTCCTTTTTCCTGGCCCTTGTTGCTGGAGACATTTGATATTATAGAAGGGTCTGGCTTCTTGAATGCTCCTGCTGCATGGTTAGAGCAGGGAACTGTGAGCCAAGAGTACTGAGTTCCGATGATTTTACGTTTTCTTCCTGGTCATTGATAAAAATGTTAAATAGAGTAGGGCCAAAACCCGACCCCTGTGGAACCTCACTGGAAACACATCTGCTTCATTACAATTCCCTGTTTACAATTATATTTTGAGACCTATCAGTTAGCCAGTTTTTAATCCATTTATTGTGTGCCATGTTAATTTTATATTCTAGTTTTTTAATCAAAATGCTGTGCATTTGTGGGTGTTTGTGAGTGTGGCAATTAGTGTGCTTGTGTGTGTATCCGTGTAACAGGGCTTGTCTCTGTGAGTGTGCACATTTCTGTGTGCTTCTCTGTGAGGATGGCAGATACCGTGTGTGTTAAAGCAAAGCATCACTACTTGCACTCCTTCTTGGACCAAAAGGTTTGGACTAATCAGATCTCTGTGCTTTAGCTCAGGCTGTCCCCTGACTTATCACTATCAGCTGGTAAAGGCCAGTGAATGCTTATAAAGCCCTTAAGCTTCTGTGTGATTGGATTTATGGTTTTATCACCCGATTACCAGTCGCATTGTGAGAGTGGTGTTTTGATCAGCCAATCTAGTCCCCACTCCCTTCCCACACGGGGATCTGCTGAGACAGGAAGACATACTGTGCATTTCTACACCACCCACAGTTTCACTACTCAGCAGTTTCACTCGTGGGGAGCACGACTCAGGCACTTTGTCCGGCTTCTCCATCTTTCGCTGCTCCTTATGTGTATCTACAGATAGTCACCTCTAGAAATCTTCCTAAAGCTGCCAGAGAGAAAAAACTGCCATACCTAGTACAGTTCAAACGTCTGTTTTAGAATGATGGTAGGCACCATATTATTTCCATCTGCCCAGCTGGTGCACATACAGAGCTATTGGCCACGCAGTGGATCTCATTTAGGGAGGCTCCCAAATTCTTGCTGTATGACCCCAGTTCCCAGTTTCATGGGCTGAGCAGCTCTAAACCCAGCATCATAAAAAATAATATCACCTAGGTCTTACACAGCACTTTTCAGCCAGAGATCTCAAGTCACCTTAGAAAGGAAAGGCAGAATCATTATCCCCATTTTACAGATGTGGAAACTGAGGCAGAAAGAAGCCCAGCAGACCAGGGAACAGAAGCCAGCTCTTCTGAGTCCTAAGCCAGTGCCCTAACTATGGAGTCCTTCTGCATGAATACAAAGCCTTAGGAGGATCAGTGCAGTTTAGAGTCATCCTCTGACACCTCTGAGCTGGCTTAATAGCTCCTATGCCAAATCCTGCCTTTCTGCCAATGGAGGAGGTGTGGCCTGGAAAAAGGGAAACAGCCAATGCCACCTGTGTGTGAGTGACCCCCAAACGCTACATCACCCCCATGAGGCCATTGGCAAGTGGTACAGGGATCAGCCAAAGGGTCCATCCCAGAACACACCTGACCCAGGAGGACTATGGAGACACATAGGTGGCTTAAAGCACCTTTGCACTCCCTGTCCTGAGCTGTTCTGTATATGCCTCCTTTATATCTGTATCCCACCCTTTACATGGCTTTTGGGCACCAGGCTTGGCTTCTTCTTCTGAGTCAGGGAGGTCAGGGGTTTAGATCAGTGAGTATCCCAGCTTCTTTGGGCAGCTGTGCCAATTTTCCAGTCTAGGCCCTTGGCAGTACCAGTAATGCCCATTGCCTCCCATTCAGCTGTGTGCACTCTAACCTGCCAGAGGGGTTGGGCTGCTACAAAATTGACTCCCAATGCAGTGAGCAGCACACGCATCAGGCAGGTTGAACTGTGTACAGCTGAATGGGAGGCAGGCAGTGAGGGCCTCATCCTTAGGGTAGGGAACAGTCAGGGAGCCTGGAGTACCAACCACAAAAGCGTGGCCCATCACACTGCCCATCCAGCTCTTTTAGAGGCACCCAGTCCTGTTTCATTTGCACCCTCACGTACAAAATTGCACCGAGCTTTGATTTTTGTTGTTATTTGTCAGATCTTCCTAGGCACATGGAACATGAACCAGTTATATTTTTCCAGACACTCAACAAATTGTCCAGATGGATGGTATTAATACCAGGATGTTTGTTTTCTACTTGTTCTAAATAAAAATAACTCCAGGAGTGACAGGTTTGCTGTGACATGGGACTGGGAGTTGTGAGTTCTGTCCCTGACTCTGAGACAGACTTTCCATGTGAACTTGGGTAAATAACTAAACCTCTGTGCCTCAATTTCCCCGTCTGTAAAATTGGAACAATGGTAGCAACCACACAGGGGCAGGAGGATTTGAGATAGAATTAGTAACACTTACAAAGTGCTTCCAGATCCTCACATGGAAAACGTTAGAGAAGTGCAAAGTATAAAGCATATAAAATGCATTGGCTAACATTTTCAAACCCACATGTTCAATATTAGACCACCAAGCCCATATTTAAGGTTCTGATTTTCAAAGGTGCTGAACAGTCACAAATCCCATTGACTTCTAGAAGAGCTGTGGGTGCTCAGCACCTCTAAAAATCAGGCCACTTAATTTAGAATCCATAACACGAATTTAGGAGTCTAATTTTAGACATATAGGTTTTGAAAACGTTCACCACTATCACTTAAGTAGGGCACACGACTAAAAACAAAAACACTGGTGTGACACCTAACAGGTGCTTAACACACAACTTCTGAATTAAAAACAAACAAGCAATTGTTTTCTTACAACTAGAATTTGCTAAAAATAAAACTTTAAAAAATAAGCATTTTTTTTATTAGAGCCTCCAAACAAAGAGTTTGCAGAACTAGCAATTCATTATTTATAGGCTCGACAATTTATTTTTTCCTTTTAACATAAAACAAGTAAAAGCCTGTGCCCCTTGTTTTCAGACTCCTCTCGTTCTGCCCCTGTGTTGCTGAAAGGGAATTAAATCCCAGAAGGGACAGTGCTGGGATAACCGATCCTGCCACTGAGGACGATTGCTCCATTCCCCTTTTCTAATCAGTGAGCCATTAAGGAGCCAGTGGCCTGTTCTAGAACTGACAGGAGAAGCAGAGCTTGCAGCAGGGGTCACCACACGTGTCCAGCAGGTACAGCATGGTACGGTGTATCCCTGGCACAGCAATTTGCTACCCACATTGCCTGACAATAGTCATCAGGTGCTTTGTGTTTCTGTAGCACCTCCCATCCCAACCTCTCACAGCATCTTCTAAACATTAAGAAATGAAATCTCACAGCCCCACTGTGAGGTAGGTCGGTGGGTGCGATTATCCTCGTTTTGCAGGTGGGGAATTGAGGCATGGAATGGGGAAGTGACTTGCCCAAGGTCACACAGTGAATAAATGCCAAAACCACAAATGGACTCTAAGGATTCTCCTCCTGGAGTTGTCCTTTAACCACTAGACCATGCTTCCTCCCTGGATGTGGAAGAGGTTTCCACTCAAGCTAAGAGAGAGCCACCTTGAGCTCAGACTCCATTTCAGAGCCTGGAGTAGAAGAGGATTCTTATGATAATAAGCACTGGCATGCCGGGGCAAGCCTCTCTCTACAAAATAACCTTTGGTGCATTTTGGTTCTGATGGAAGCAGCAAGCTCGACAGCCCTGGAGACGGATCTCCTCTAGTCACAGAACACGTACAGCAAGCACAGTAGCAGGGCAGCCTTCCCACACACAGCACCCTTCATCAGTGTAGTTCCACCCTGACTACAGGTCAGGAACTGCATCTAGGCTAAGAGAAGAATTCATTCTATCAGGCTTATTCACTTCTTAAACTCTCATTTGAGGCTGCCAAGAAGGAGGGTGTTCAGACCAATTGCTATGGCAATTTTTATCACATAGAAAGTTGATCTGCTAGGAACTGGACTAAGACCCACCAACTCATTTCATACAAGAGATTCCAAAGAGCTGCCGGAAGGTAATTACTTTGGGTCACAACTGACCTGGGCTGGATTCGAACTGATAACCAAGCTGTGAAGTGCTCACTAATCAAAGCAGTCCCCTGAATCTCGATGTCAGCCTCTGAGAAATCTCTGGTAATAGACTGCAAGGGATTCTGCCACCAGATCCAGCGACCTTGCTTAGCTAGACTATTTCTTTACAAAAAAAATCACTGGTCTGGGTTCCAGATGTGCACAGCGTATGAGAGCCACTGACAATACGTCTGAATCCCAGAGACCTAGGGTGAAATCCTGGCTCTACTGAAGTCCAGGGGAGCTTTGCCATTGACATCAGTAGGTCACAAACTCACCCCCAAGGTCTGAGGGGGACCATCAATTAATGGAAGAAGGTCCAAGGCCTGGTTAAGAAACACTGGGCCAAATTTATACCTAGGGTAACTAACCCAACTGGGTTATACAGGAATGAATCTGGTTCTTTGGCTTGTGCAGGTAACCCTGCTTCCCTCCCCGTCTCCCCAAGCTTGTTTCTGGCAGGCTGTAGGAGACCATCTTATGCTCTGGCCATGGTGCTGAATGGGGAGGCTGGGCCCAAACCTAGAACAAGGAACCCCAGGTATTTCTTTGCAGGGTGGCTAGATCAGGTGGCCTGGCTGTGAGTAGCACTTCAAGGTACTTCTGTCATCAGGCATCTGCACAGAAATGTGAAGCTTTTATTGTGCCAGACACCTTGATTGAAAGAAGAAACCTTTTCAAATTAAAAGCCTATTTCGCAGCAGTGAGGGCCAAATCAGGGGTTCAGCAGATGATCCCCACGTCTTAGGGTTTGCCCCTGGAATCCCACCCAATTAGTCAATATTCAACAACTTTGGCAGCAAGATGATGGATCTGTGCAATTAGTCAGGGAGACAGGGGCTTGGAAACAGCTTTACTCCTAGAGGACTTTTAACAACACTTCTAACATAAGGGAAATTTCCTATCAGAAAGAGGCTTTGAAGGATATTTCAATACCTGGCATAGATCTGCTTTCTCCAGCAGGCTGTGTCCATTACACTTACATGTACAGGTTGTCTTGCTAGTTAATCCCTAGTTACAGTGAACATGTTTTAGGGTGTTATTTCTTTGCAAGTGACTTTAAAAAAATCAAATTGGGATTTCAATAAATAATATGAAATTGTGCACTGTGACTTTAAATGTGCCCTATAGTGTTCATGGAGTGGTTCTGGCAGAGGTAGGGCTAGGCCTGGATTGGTTGTAGAAAATCCTGTGTGAGTGGCTGGTTAACTGTTTCCCTCCCAGTGCTGGGAGACAAATGAGAAAAGCAATAGATAAGGATGCAAATAGCAACCTCCCAAAAGGGACATTGCAATGCAGGCAAGGAAGGAAAGATGGGAGTCAGATTGTTTACCCTAAAGACTCAGCTCTGCTAATGCAGAATAAACACCTTAGTTAGAAGAGTGCGAAGAAAGGACTCAACATTTGTAGACATCCAGCTGCACTGTGTGCCCTAGGATTTCTCTGTGCACACACAGAAGCCTGTCCTCCCCCTGCCTCCCCCCACCCCCACAGCCTCCCGGAATGTGCTTGGGGTGAAGGGAGAACATTCTGCTCTCATGGAAACCCAGAGCCCTTGCAGCTTGAAAACTTTATGTTCACCTTCTCCACTATGAATAATTCAGCTCACATATTTAATGAATGTAAGGAGAACAACTGGGACTGTTGGTGACTATGAAAATAAGGTCAGGTTTGTTGAACATTGGCTGCTATCCTGAGCTGCAGAAAAGAACATTTACTATTGACTGGAGGATATGACTGATTGTTATTTGTTACCAAAATCCATGCATAGCAGCTCTGAACTGACTCAGAGAGTTGAGGGAACAGGATTTCAATAGCATTGCTGCAGCATCAGGAGCAAATTTGTTTGGCACAGTGCTGAGCCAGGATGTATGGGAACTAATGGTGACCACTGTACGTATGACTACTGTCCCCTCCCCCAACACCAGGACAGTCCTAGCTAGCCAGTATTTCAATGCAATTGTCTTTGTCTACACTTCTCCCTGTCAGGTAAGATTCAGGTGTTAGATGGAGCAGAATCATAAATCAGAAACATCTCCCAGCACAAAATCTGACTCCAAAGCAAAGGCAGAATTACAAAGAAACCCCCCCACCGCCACCCCAGACAGATTCTGTCAAAAATGCAGAAATACAGGCACAAAACACACTGCTATTTAAATATTCCGGTTGCCAGCTGTACCCCTATTCACCTCTGAGGAATAGCCAATCTACTCATCCTACAAAGCACCCATCCAAGCCATTCTCTCAAGGCAGGGATATGCCCTGGATTTTGGAGGTGATTCTTCCCTGGGAATCCAGCACAGCATTTACCTTTTGTGAGCTGAAAGACTGGGTCCAGTGATACAAAACCAGCCTATCCTTGGATCTGAGAGCGGGGTCTGTTGGGTCCTGGCTGTCCTCAACCTCCGCAGATTTCCCTGCATCGTTCTCAAGAGCTGAAATGGGCCACCAGCTGCAGTTGGTGGGAGTAGCATTGTTGGGAGTCGCCATGACAGCCTGAGATTGGAAGAACGGGGGAAGGAGAGAGCAGCGGCAGCTGCACTATCCAAGCATCACATGGGCTCATGGAAACAGCATCATTACTCAAGCAAGTGGACTGAATTTCATTACACCCTCGGTATTAGGTGGGGAACGCAGGGGAGCAGAATCAGAAATCAGGTCTGATTTTACAAAAGAAGGGGATTGTGTGTGTTAAATCAGAACCTGTTTACACTCATGTCAGGGCTCCCACTGAAACATACTACAGTGGGCATGCATTGTTTCATTGGAACAGATCAGAAACAGTTTCTGCTACCGGTGCTACCAACACAGCAGTCCACATGCAACTCCAAAGTCCACATCTCATCAGGAATGTTTTTGCAATTGATACTAACATTTGGATCACTTTATATTTGATAGATATTGGATAAACTGATTCAGAAATAAATGCTATCTGTAAAACAGCAGGTGCTTTCCTACCTACAGCCCTGTATGGAACAAAGAAGCAAGGACTCTTCAAATGTTCTCATGGTTCTGTATGTTCCGATTAACTATTAATTAATTATTTTGATTTATTTGTATTGCGGTAATACCTAGGGGGTCCCAGTCACGGACCAGGATCCCATTGTGCTAGGTGTTGTACCAGCACAGAACAAAATGACAGTCCTTGCCCCAAAGAGCTCACAAATGTGGGTTACAATTGTTTTATTTACAGAATTGATGGCTCAAATTGGGAACATGCCTTTCATATGTAATTATTGTAACTGTGCATGCAGCCAGAGTCAGTGCTCAGGTAAATGGCTGGCTAGACATCTAAGGGCCTTCTGTAGGTGCAACTATTTTGACTCTGATTACATTCACAGGATGTGGAGGTACAGACTGGTTGTGCATATTCACACATATTTTTGGCCACATGATAACGAACACAGAGGTCTGGAAATCAGGGCCTCGCTGCCTCACCATTTGGCTTCATATCTGGCAACGTTTCCTGACAGTGTGCTCTGTCATCTGTACCACTGAAACAGTCGCCCAAGAAAAGTGCTAGAAGCACCACTTAAGATTAGACTGATTCAAGTCTGGGAAAATAAAATAAATCCTGTATGGGCTGGAAGGATGAGCTCAGTCACTGAGGGGAACTAAATTTGTGCCCACACAAGATGCACATGCAAAATGTGCTGCTGCACGTTTGCACCTGTGAAAACTTTGTGACAAATCGTGTCTAGCTGCTCGTTTGTGTGTGCAAGGGCTGGGCTTGGAGTGCACGAAAGGACAGACATGCACATTTTGCTGGGGCATTTTCAGAGACTGGTCCCCATGGGTCTTTCCCATCTCCAGTTTCTTCTGATCCCCTGACTTTGCCCCTCATGCTACAGATGTAGAATTAACCCTGTGGGGTGAGGGATGGCTGGAGGGGGACTGAGACATTTGGTGAAATGTGCCTGTTTTAGAACATTTAACAGGAGCTCCCCACCTCATTCATTCCCCACAGGCATTGTCTATGGGGTGACGTGCAAGGCGGGTCTGACCTCCACAAATAGATTTTTAAATGAGCCAGATTTCCTGTCAAAACCATTTGGGGGGGGCTTGGGGGGGGGCAGGACAAAAGAGTTAAAATGAATCATCATTTCCCAGTGCATTGTGTCCCTCAAACAGGGAAAAGTAATGGCAGAGGGAAGAGCTGGGGGTTAGGAAGGGCTATTGCTGCCCTTACTCCTTTCTCCTCTTCAGTCTCATGAAACAACCATGGAAGAGATTCACTGTCTATAGCGAGGGCTTGCAAAGTGCAGCCGGAGGCCTCAGTGCAGCCTGTGAAGACTTAACAGAAACAGCTGTTCATCTCTAGCGTTTATGACAGGGGAACTCAAGCAGCAGGCAATTGCTACTCAACTGCCAAGAGAGATCCAGCTCGCAGCCTTGAGGCTGTGCACGCTGTATTACAGGTATATAAGTGCAAACGTGGGCCTGCCTTTAGGGGGCTGGCAAGTTGCTGATGTGGCCCTCTTTGTCACAAACTTTGTGCGCTCCTGATCTGCAGCTTACACAGAAGCACAGTATGAAGTGCAAAGAAAGGCAATGCCACCTTCCTCAGCTCATCCTAGTCTTGAATTTAGCATTTTCTATTCTCCAGGCACAAGAATAAGAGGTGTTTTCATTGCCTATAAAGCATCTTTCCAGATCCCTTTATATTAATAACTCTCACTGACAATGTACATAATCAAATGGTGCCGCTATTTTGGGCTTAGAACAAGAGGAGAGCCACTCAGTATTAACCTATCAGACCAGATCATTGTCCACCAAGCACCATCTAGTGGACTATTTGATTTTATACTATATATTGTGCAGTCAGGAATAGAAATGACAGTCTCTGTATCTTTCTGAATCCTGCAGATATTCACATCCTTTGGGAGTGTGTACTTGGCTGGCAGTCAGACAGGGTGTGACCTAATAAACCAAGCAAAGGATTGAGAGGCAGGATTGCTAGGTTCTATTCCTGGCTCCGACGCTAACATTGTGTGACCTTGTGAAAGTTCTTTTCCCTCCCTCTCCTGTCATCAGTTTCCCCATCTGTAAAAACGGGGGTGAGACTGATCTCCCCTACCAGCTATTGTGAAGTGAATTTGTTAGTGTTTAAAAGTTGCTGACTAGAGATATGGAAAGCATCAAACTGAAGGCATGCTAAGGGTTAAAGTACTGTGGGCTTGCTAGCTAGGAGATTAGGAGTGAGATTGAAAAGTGGCTGAAAGGCTGAATCCAGGACTTCAGAAACACAGAAACGTGGCCCAACTTAAAAAGAATTGGTGACTATCCGCTGCTTTGGTTTTTCCAGCTGGCCTGAAGCCAGGGAGTGCCAACATGTATCCTATAGAGTCATAAACATAGGGCTCAGGAGGTTGTCCAGTGAAGTCTATGACCCCCAGGCCAGGACAGGATTAACTATACCTGCCAGATGTTATCTAACCTATTCTGAGAGTGGAATTCGTCCATGCCCCTTTGAGGAGAAAAATAATTCAGTAAACCTAGCTTCCCCACACTCAAACGGAGCCATTTCTGAGGCTGGAAAGAGTTAACTTATTTGATGTCTTTGTCTCGCAGCGCTCTAAGTTCTGTGAAAGTAACATGAAACAAATGAACACGGTGAAGAATTGGCCCAGCTTTGTTAACTCCTTGTTTTGTAATGATTTTGACCTGTGGCTAGAGGAAGAGTGAGGAGCAGTAGGAATGGAGGAGCTCATGAGAATAAGGGAGCACACAAGAGAAAGAAGGGGAAGAGGGGCCGTCAGAACTCCTCACTTGCCTTGCCTAGCCACAACCAACCAACATGGTTTTGTAGGCACTACGGTTGAGGTGAGGCGTATTAATTTTACCCAAGAGTTTTCCCCAGGTAGCATGGAAGAAAGCAGGATGGTGTTTAATGAAGAAGTTGAATGTTGGGTAAGGAAGCCAGATCGAAGTCAGTGGTTGACACCACCATGAGTTATTATTTAGGCTGAGATGAAGAGGGAGCCAATGAAGGGACTGATGTGATCAGAGAGGCAAGCTATGACGATGATCTTAGCAGTAGTATTCTGGATGGACTTGAGGTGAGCCAGGCTGAAATAGTCAAGCTGTGAACACTTCCATCTAACTCAGGGCACACTGGAAACTTCATTGGAGAACCTGCTTTCATGCTATTTCCACCTGTTTTGCAGAGCTAAGTTCCATAATTCAAATGAGATTCCAAGAAGGTCCTAGTACTTTAGGGTGTTTCTTGGAATGGTTTGAGTTCCACTCTTTCCTACATTTCTCCCCCAGCCCGGATCAAATAGCACGAGGACTTGATCCATGCTCTGTGCTGAGAAATCTGCTACATGATTGGTGCCATCTGATGCATTTACAACATTTGAGCTTGATGCCAAATGATCATACTATCAGCCTGTTGGCCCAGGCTCCCCCCATTTCCTGTACATCTTTCACAGCAGCAAGGTCATTGCTCAATTGTAGTTGGTAAGATACAAGCACCACTGCAGTGCTTAGCAGGAGCCACTGCCCCACCGTGACCTGGGAGTCCCTTTCACCAAACACAGTAACAATGGAGATCTCATTTTCAGAGAATGTGGAATGGCTGGTCCAGTTTTCAGTGCTCCTGCCGGTACATGGAGAGTTGGGTTTTGTTTTATGTTTGCTGTGGTCACAGACAATGAATACCAGTTTCAAGTGGAATACAGGCATAGCCTAGAAGCAAAAACAGATCACACGGATGCTTTATAATATGGATTTGTTAACATCTTGGGCACCCCTCTCAATGGCAGGCAGTCACCATTTTGTAAGAGGGTATCTTTGCTAAGGGCTGCGCTGTAGTCTTACTCCCCTTGAGAATAGGAAATGGCAGAGGGCATTTCTTCATGGAATTCTCTGCAGATGAACATTATCCATTGACCCCCTGCTGAGAAGAAATGTTCTTTTTTGAAGAATGGGTTAAAAATCATTAATCCTAAAAATCTGTTTTAAAAAACTACCACTTGTGACAGATTTACTCAAAAGGAAGAAAACAAAGGTCAGATTGGGGAGGTTATGAGGGGGCAGGAACTGTGTGTGTGTGGTTAGGAGAAAGCCACAGGAAGGGGAAATTGAGTAGTTTGGCTTATAGGGGGATGTGGGAGGGAGAGAGTGAGAAAATGGGCGAGAATATGCGCAGAGAAATACACGGGACATGAGGGAAACTTGGGTGAGTGTACAGGGGAACATAGAGGCCAGGAGCTGGGTGAAAGTGCCCAGTACGCTCTGGCTGGTTTGTGCTGCTCCAGAGAAGGGTAAAAACAGAGACAGCCTACTGCTGGACTCTGGACCTAAACGTTAAATCTTTTTTTCTTTTAATGCTGATATTAGATATCTTCAGACCATTAGAAATATTACATGGTATCATTCTCTTTGCATTTCTTGAGTGTTCCTGTATGAAACTTCCTTTGTATTGCTATTTATTAATAATTCCCACATAGAAACATTGAGCTAGACTTAAAAGGTAACAACATTATAGGGATTTTGTAATTATCAGAAACAAGCATTACAAGCCCAAGAGATTCAGAGTTAAGGCTAAACTTAAAAGAAATCCAAACTGTGTTAAGGTATGGAATGCACAGGAAAGGTACCCAAATAACCTTAACTGTGCCTTCTAGCGGCATGATGAGGGAGAAAAGACAACAAAATTAAAGTGTCTAAAAATCAGTTTAATCTAATCTGGGACTACAAACACTATTACACAATAATAGTCATATAGTTATTACATGGCATCATTAGAGGTAGAACCTGTCGGTTCCAGCTGACGCTTGGAGCTGCGGCACAACACAGATGTGAGCAACACAGACGACGATGCATATTGTTGATGAATGCCTGCTAACTAGGTTCAGCGGTGGCCTAGAAGAACTGTATCATGCCACTGAAGATGCCATCGCTTGGCTAGACGACTATACACACGCTAAATAAAATAAAGTACTACAGGGAAAGTTATGGTTCTTTAGGTGCCTTAGCTGTGTTTCCAGACTTCAGCATGTTTGGATTTCTTTTAAAAGCTTAACTCTGAACTTCCTGGATTTGTAATGCTTGTTTTGGGGATAATTACAATATCCCTGTAATATATTTATCCATAAATTACCGATCTATACTCAACCTGAACTCCAGATGTGAAAAAAAGTAAATGAAAATGGAAGGGGGTGGGTGGGGGGGATTTAAAAAAAACCCAAGTTTTTGATTTTTGACAAATGAAAAGTGACGGGTCAGTGTGTGTTTTTACAAGTGTGTTTTTTGGTGAAAATTTCAGTTTAGTCAAAGTGCCATTTTCTGCCAACAGAATGTTTTGACAGAAAATTTTCATCCAGCTTCAGTGTTATTGCCCTATACCATCTAGCTTGTATGATGTGTATATAGTCTCTCTGCCCCATTCCAGACTCTCTGCCTATGGCAACATTGGCCCAGAAACAACCAATGAGGAAAAACCCATAAGTTGATGTATAAGGGAGCTGATTTTTTCCTACAAACGCAGTGTGGCCTAGTGGATGGGGCACTGGACTGGGATTCAGATCTGAGTTATTGCCAGCTCTGCTATGGGCCTGTGTTGTGACCTTGAGCAAGTCACTTCACTTTTCTCTGCCTCAATTTCCCCATCTATAAAATACACAATACTTACCTCCTTTGCAAAGCGCTTTGACATGTACAGTTGAACAGTGCTATGAAAGAGCTAATATTATATTATATTATTATTATATAGGGTGCAGAAACATGCTCTACGACAGTCTGCACTTCTAAACATAGCTGTGAGGAAGAAGCCTTCAAAATTTGCTTCAAGTGGAACCATCTATGCAATACTCAGATTCAACAATGAAAGACACCCTGCCCAAAACACAGAATATTTACTTATCCTTCCCACACAAGTGGGCTGGTTTAAGACAGATCCCTAACTACATATTGTTTCTTTAAGTTACTGGGCCTTACTTTGTCTTAAATATTTTGCAGTTAAAAAGAGAAAGGATCTCCCAAATACCACAAATCCCCAGATTCAATCATAAAAGGCTATTCTTCTAAGACATATAGTGAAAGCAGTACAGGCAGCTCAAATGTCCACAGCACAGACCAAAGAACAGAGGGAGTTTATTTGATCTACAATGAATTCTTTGAGCTTTGCAGAGTTTAATGCATTCTTTTAAAACACTAAGCTCAGAGGCTACTGTCTGTTTTTCACTTTATTAAAAAACTACACTGTATGGTGCAAAGAAACATTTGATCAAATACACAGCAATGAGAATGGCCAAATTCCCACTCATGGCTCTGAGGGAAGCACTTCATCCACTCATTACTACTGAATTTCCAGCCCATGATTCTCCATGGATTCCTTGTAGTCAAGTGTACATCATTTCTGCCATGTGGGACATTTTCTTGGGAATATATAAGTAATATTCCATGTATCCGGAAAGATCTTCAATTGTCACATCGTCCACGAAGGCTCGAGCTTGCTCAGAACAAGATCGGGGAGAACCTGATGAAGCCATACCAGAGGGTGATTTGTTCTGCAGAGACTGGGAATGGACTTCTAGCACTGCCTTTTCACATTCTGACAGGACATTCCGCAAGCCAGAAAAAGAGTACACTTCCACGTCTTGCCACCGTTTGCACTGGCATTCCTTGTCCACGCAAGGACACTGCTTGCTATCGCTAAGCACAGATATTGACTGGAAATCTGAAGACTGTCTAGAACCCAGGCTGGGTTCAAAGGACGACGAAACAGCAGCCGAATTCTCTCTTGAATTCTCCAAAGGCTGTTCAGTTGTGGAAGCTCCCAAAGGTTCATTTCTGGCTCTTCTACAATCATTGGCATCAAAGCAGGAATCATACTTGTCCCCTGTACATGGTTCTTCTGCAACACAAATGTCTGAGCTGATAGTACTCTTTGCAGTGTCTGGCTGGCTTTTGTGTTTCAACTGGCTGCGGGCAGAAGATGCTTTCATACTGCAGTAGGTAAACTTGGGAGGATGCAGGACAGGAGACTTGGAACGCCTACGACGCTGGGTTCTTGATGACCCCCTGGAGGGCTTCCTCACACACCTGTTAGTGAACAAAAGATGAACAATTAGGTTACTCAGAACTCAATTCTGGAGCTTAATGCTTTCCAAAACAGGACCTCACTTAAAGCAAGACAGTGTCAAGTATCAGATCTGAACGATGATTATCTATACAGCTATAGAAAATCCCAGCACTCCACTGGTATCTGAAACCCTCAGCAGACCAAGTCACAGAAAAATAATTGACAAGAGATATTCTGAATGCACATTCACAATAGCTATAAATGCCAGTGCTGGTGATTAAACTCGTGTCTTTAAATAAAAGGGGATGGGAAGAGAGAACTGACCTTTCCTCCACCCTAGATTATGCTGGAAGCAGAAGAAAGTGGGAGAGTAGCATCTAGAGAGGATTGTAAGAAGGACTGTGAGGGAGCTGATACCCCAAAGGAAGGATGCTTTCCTGCTGTAGGATGGTTTTTGTAATTGAATACACCAAACTGAGGAAGTTTTGAAGTTGCTGTTGAGGGAAGTAGCAACAGACTCAGGAGAAAGGAACTGATGCTGAGTTTTATTTCATTTATACTAAATTACAAAATGATCATCCAGGACACCTAAGGATCTGGGTGGAAGAAAGGAGAGGAAAGGACTGAGATGACAATTGTCACAGATACGGATACTCAGGAGGATGTAATTGATATCATTACAGAAGAGGAGCTGATATGGAATATTGTTATAAATACTGTAGGAGCAGGAATGTATTGGTGTGTAACCTAGTTATTGAGAGAGTATACACTTTTACTGGGATAGTGGAATGTTTATTGCACACCATAATGCTTGGATTCAATGGGGCTGTAGGAAGAACAAACAAGGAAGCAAAACAATGGCTTCCCAGATAAGAACATCTAGGTACATACTTGAAAGACAATGGTGTTAGGATCAGGGATCCTGTCTCCTCTGTTTCCATCAAGTTTCAAACCTCCCAGATCAAAGGGCTACAAACAGGAAGTATTTTGATTCCTGTGAAGATGGGAAGGAGTGTCTCTGATCAGCAGCTGTTTAAGGAAACAGGCTGGCATGGACAAGCTCTGTGGAGGAGTATGAAGGAACTGGTCCTTCCCGGATCTAAAGAGGTGGTACGCCTTAAGGGGCAGAGCTAGATATACATACAGTCTGTTCAATTGTTTTTAAGATTGTTTTCTATTAAACAGTCTGTCCTATTGTTTTCTATTAAACGCTTTTGTGCTAAATAACTAATACTTTGCTTTAAGGAGGCTGTTTGGTCACTGCTTACTTCTGTCATTGCCCCAGAGGGAACAGAATTCCAGGGTCTGGAAATAAATCAGATCTGCTGAGGTAATCAGTTAGTACCAGGGGACTGATACCCAAAGCCTGGTCTGAGAATGGAAGAATCACACAGTTCCATTCAGAGCCAAGTAGCAGCTAGTGGCCTGAGAGCTGAAGGAAGATATACTCAAAAACATCAGGAGTGATCAGAGGTGAAGTTAGCCCAGTAACTGTGACACATATGGATACTAGTATCTCTTGAAGGGAGACAAAAGGCTTTGTTAAAAGGCTATTAAAAAGAATCAAGATGAACTCTAAGTTAAGGTTTCTATAAACACAAAAGGGGAAAAATAATATGGCTCAGCTGCTTAATTAAACAAGCAATCCCTGTTTGAAATGATGTTATGCATGTTTTCATCATCTCTAATTAACAAGGAATAAATATACAGTTCAGTTAACAATGCGTTTTACCCATGCCAAGTCTCTTTGGCACAGACAGGTTGAGGTTTGGTTCCGTCCATAGCTGTTCTTATTGGTGCTCTCAGACTTGTTCCCTCATCCACAGACAGGGATGCGGTAGATCTGAGTGAGAGGAAAAATGCTACATTAAGATAGTTCTGCAACATATGTTTCAAAGTGTCTCCACATTGATGTTGTGCCCTACCCCTCTCAGAAGGCTACTTTAATGGTACTAGAATGTAAATCCATGTTAAATTTCTGTTGTCACAGATTCATTGCTAACCAGAGACTTATGGTTTCACTGAAAACAGGATGTCTACAGCAGCAGATCAAGGAGCCAGTGGGAAGGAAGGGAGATGTGGGAACAGAAGTGAAGAGGCTACCTATCCATTATTCCTCTCAGACAGAAATGAAATGCAAGGCAATTCCTGTATAGGACTCTAGGCCCTGTTTTTCAGAATTGCAAGCATACAACTGCATTGTCAGAAATGCCTTGTTTGCCTAACTCTCTCAACTGCAGTAAATGCAAATAGCTAGTCAGAAGTCTAATGAGCCATCTATACATACAACCCCTGCGATTAAACGTGTTTCCACCCCAGAGGTAACTACACTGCAGTGGTCATTGAAATGACTCCTTTATGTCCCTTACTTACCTGAGGGGAAATTGGAGGCTTAGGTAATGCCTCAAGTGTTTTTCATTTTATTAAAACTTGACAAACTGAGCTACTTTTCTACAAGCTCACTTACCCTGCTGCATCTACTCTTAGCTTTTTGAAAGCTGTCTGCAGACTCTCTTCCTCTCTGTCTTTATCTTCTGAGTCCATTGATGAGCTGTCAAAGTAACACTGATTGGGCCATGGAAGTGTGCACTGAAAAATATACAAATTGTGATTTGATATTGGGAACTGAACACTTACTGGTCTCCGAATAAAACTCCACACAACTGAAATGAGCCACCATGTTGTGTTTCATTCCTCTAGAGTCAGTCCCATTGCCTTCAGATTGGAACCATTCCATTAATATTATTTGTTCACCAGGAACTGTGTACTCAGAGTTGTTCACAGTGCAGAGGAAGACAACCTAAGTTTTGCCACGTCCCTACACACTGTTTTAACACAAGATGTACTTTGGCAGTTGGTATTAGTTTACAGAACAGTAATACTGGCATTTCAATTTCACTTAGGCACTTGTCACTGACAGAAGGGACACTGACCTCAATCAGCCCTACTGAGTAGTTTCTGGTCAGCACGCTGAACCAACACACACTGAGGAACTTTTGTGTCAATAAGGTAAAGAGAACTGTACCGAGAAAGAGTAAGAAAAGTGAAGCCTATGAAAAGTATATATATTATCTGCTTGAAATCATACAGAGAAGAATTAATTTTAGCCTATAGGGCTACACTACAGACAGGAATGTAGAATTTAGAGATTAAACAGTTAATTGAGTTGTACTGCTTTTGTAACTTGTTACTTTAGATAGGCCACACCTAGCCTAGACAAGGAGATACAAATAACAGGTAGGGTCCTACCAAATTTATGCCTCACTTAGGTCAATTTCATAGCCACCAGTCTTAAAATAGGTCAATTTCATGATTTCAGATGTTTACATTTCAGATGTTTCTGAAATTTCAGTGTTGTAACCCTGGGGGTCCTGATCCAAAAGCGGATGGGAACCTGCTGTAGAGGGGTTACAGGATTGCCATTCTCACTTCTGTGCTGTGGAGTTTCCTGCAGCTGGAGGAGGCTCCCAGAGGTGGTGGTAGGTCTGATCTCCCCAGTGCTGCTGGGAGCTCCCCAACTGGGTGCTTCTAGTCAAGGCTACTGATGAATTAATGCATGGGCCCCAGACAATTTGAAAAATGGGTGCCCAGCCCTGGCAGGAGCTACAGGGTGGAAGCCTGCAGCCCCAGCAGGTGATGCAGCCCTAAGCCCGGGCAGGAGCTAGGAGGGGTCAGCAGCCTTGAGCCTGGGCACCCTGAGCCCAAGCTGGAGCCACTGGGGGTGGGGGGGTAAAGGGGGGGGAGAGAGGGCAACAGCCCCGAGCCCGGGCAGGAGCCAGCGGGTGGGGAGGCTGAAGCCTGGAGCTCAGGCATGAGCTGGGAGGGCAAAAGCTCCAAGTCCCAGCTGGAGCCGCAGCGGTGGCAGACCCCATCCCAGGTCCCTGAGCCCAGGGAGCAGCCATGGGGGGGAGAGGCCGGGGGAAGGGGAGCGGAGGCAGCCCTGACAGGAGCTGCAGGGGCTGGAACCGCAGGGGGTGGAAGCCCGATTCCTAGCTGGAGCCTGGGTGCCCCCAGCCCCGGCAGGAGCCACTGGGCGGGATAGCACCCCCAAGCTTGAGCGCCTAGAGCCTGGGCAGGAGCAATGGAGAGGGGGACAGCCCTAAGCTGGACTGGAGCTGTCTGGGGGTGGCAGCCCCCAGCCCAGGTCACTGAGCCCAGGCAAGAGCCACAGGGGGTCAAAGCCTCGAGCCCTGGCTGGAGCCCGGGCAGCCCCAGCAGGAGCCGCGGGGGGGGGGGGGTGCAGCAGCCCAGAGCAGCCCTCAGCTCAGCTACCTCAAGCCTGGGCAGGAGTCGTAGGGGACAGCAGCCCCCAGCCTGGGTGCCCTGAGCACTGGCAGGAGCCGTGGGGGGGCGGCAGCCCTCAGTCCGGGCACCCCGAGCCCCGGAAAGAGCCGCAGGGGGTGGAAGTCCGGAGCCCAGCTCTGGGGCTGCTGCAGTGCAGAAGTGAGGGTGGTACTCACTTCTGCACTGCCTGTGGAGGTGGGTCTGACCTCCCTCTGATAACAGCCATGCAGGGGAAGGACAAGCCCCAGCCCAGCTTATTTTGGGGAAATCAGATTTCATGGGGAAGGGCTTATTTCACGGTCCGTGACATGTTTTTCACAGCTGTGAAACTGGTTGGGCCTTAATAATAGGAACTGAAGTGTTGGGCATAAATAGCATAATTATATAGAAGGACAGAATGTAGAATATTTACCATTAAACAGTTAGTAGTGCTGTATATTGCTCTTGCAATTTGATCCTGACTTGAAGGCAGTTTTCCTCCCTGCCACAACTAGCTTGGACTAGAAGCAGAAGACAATAAAGCCCACATTGGAAGAAAGTCCTCTGTGCACATGTATCCAATTGGTCCTTGGCTATAAAGATTACACAGAACAAATGAAAGCATTTTCCTGTCTGAATCTTAAAGAAGTGGCTGAGCATAGTACTCACTATTGAGAAACTGGCTGATCATAATGCTTGCTATTAAGAATTCATTGCTATCTGTTGTTCTAGGTAGATTTTCTCTTCTGTATACTTCCCCACTGCTACTGAAGAACTCTCCCATAGGTCTAAGAGCTAATATCAAGGGATCACTTCCTTCCACTACAGCAGAAGGACCAGCACCTTGATCTGGGTCCTCAGACATCAGCAATGTTCTCTAATAGTCTATTCTTTCATGCACTATGTCAGTGGTTCCCAAACTTTTTACTCAAGTGACCCAGCAACTACCTTTGGTCTTTTTTTTTTTCTGCAACCAATTCAGGGGTCATATGGGGGGGGGAGGCAAAATGAGAGGCCTCTGCACCCAGCTGGTGGGCACCAACCACCCACACCAGCACCCTCTGCCTTGGCACCACAACTCGAATCTTGGCCTAGTGTGGAGGGGAGGCCTGGAGACAGGAGGTTGGAGAGCAAGCCCACCCTGCACTCACATACTGGTAGCTGCTCCAGTCCCATGGGCATGGCCCAGTTACCCACTCTGGGTGCATGGGATTCCAGTGCCACTCAGGTTTGGCCCAGCCACCTGAGTGGCAATGTGACCCCATACATCAGGTCACAACGCCTGGAGCAAGGACCTGGGCCTAGCCCTGGGAGACAGCTTTGGGGTGAGTGCATGGTGGGTTCACTTTCCAACCTCTGCACCAGGTTCACAACCCATTTAGAACTTTGTTGGGACCCACCATTTGGGAAATGCTGCTCTATGTGCATCACAGGCTGCAAAGCGAAACTTACAAATTACTTGAGTACATTTCCCTCTCTAATCCATAGTGCACATACAGAACTGGCTTCATGTGGCAACAAGACATGCAGGAAAAAGGAGAGACAACAAATCAGGGTGGAAGTAGAAAGATAAAATCAGTCACTCAGACAGGACAAAAATGCCTTAGTTGTACACTCTGCTTATGAATTCCTGTCTTGGAGCAAGGTACTAACACTCTCTGCTCTGATTCAACAGCATTCCAAAGGCTATTTAAGTGGGTAAGTATAAAGGTGTGCAATGTACCTTCAGATCTGGGACTAAACAGGAAGGTAGGTGACAACAACCTGATACTTTCTGTAGTGGAAGCTCAACTATTTTAATTTAATAAGCAGTTGTAAATGTATTAACAGATGCAATAAAACCTTGCATGCCATACAATGCTAACGACCATGCTTTTTGGGCAGCTGTGCTGTCCTTCAGCATGCCATCCCCAATGTATTCAAGGGGAGCGTTCTCAGCATGTGCACCTGTTGTGTTGCTGGGTTTCCATTGTATCTATCTAGGTTTTTTACAGTTTAATCACCATGGTATCTGAGCACCATTGTATCATGACGTAGACATCTGCAAAGTAGAAAAGCGTGATAAAAATATTCATAGCCAAAAAGAAAATAACACAATGTGAAGTGTGATTCTTCTCTAAACGATAACTCTATAAAACGCCATTTTCTTACCCTATAGATCTGTGTGTATTCAGTCACACGTCGTTTTCTATCAAAACCACATTTTTATTTCTGTTTACTTCAGTTAGTTCTGCACAGCTCTGGGAGGGAAATGAGATTCTATTCTGGGAGCTTCTGCATCAACAAATTGTTAACCACATTCCCATTGCTTGCTCAGTTTCTGTCCTCAGGGCATGTAAAAACCATGGAAGACAACTCAAGGTAATGATGCTACACTGATGCCTGTGAAGGCATAATTTAATCTCCATAACCTGCAGTCTGATTTGACTCAGTCTTGGATGAGTTTCTGGCACTGGCACGTAGGAAACATCCACCCCAACACTCAGTTTACAAGTACAAAAGGCCACACTTGACTTGGAGTCATTGAGACACAAACATCGAACCCCACAACGACTCTTCCACGCAGCCTTCTCTGAAAAGTGTGATTTTATTTCCCACCCACCTACACATACAAGTTTTGTTTCAAATTTGACTCAGGCCTTGCTACACACGAAAGCGGTTCCGCTTTAACAAAGCCAGTATAGGTGAAGTAGTACAATCCTCCCTGCGGACACAGTTATATCTGTACAAACGTGCTTTTTGGTATACCTTAGTCACATATATGAAAGGGAATAACCTGTACCGGTATCAGGTACCATTATACTGGTATAGCTTTGTCTACACTAGGGCTTGTACCCACATAACTATTTTCACGAAAACCCAGAGCCCTGGCCGAGGGTTATGCTGCAAAACCCGTGTGTAGCTCAGGCCTCACTTGCACAGACCCTTCGCACCTGGCCCGGTGCGGCATGAGGAGCAGCAGCTCCCCGCTCCCCTTGTTCTCTGCATTTGTCCCTCCTTGCGCTGGAGAGGAATGAGCCGCACAGGCCTCAGAGGCACCTGGCTCGGGAGGGGGCGCGGGTGGGCACAGAGCGCGCTGCTGCTGCCAGGCTCACTACGCAAACCGAAGGGCAGAGCCGCTCTCCGCGTAGCGCTGTGCCTACAGCGCCGAGCACATGGGGGCCCTGGCTCGGCCAATCGAGGCAGGCCAGAGGAGCTGTGGACGCTCCCTGCCGCCCGCAGCCGAGGGGGCACCGTTCCCCAATCCCTCACGCGTGCGATGCTTGCCGGCTGGGAGACCCTGAGCGGCGGCGGCGCTCAGGCAGGCTCCCCTCACAGCCAGCGCGGCCCCAGGCCCCGGACGAGCCCCCGCTGCGTCACCTCCCGGGCTGCTGGGGTTGCCCGCCCCAGACCCCCGCGCGCGGCCCCGATCCTTCTTCCACGAGAAGGGGCCCGGAGACCGGGGCGTGGGGAGTGAGACAGGCCCTCCCCGCCCGGCTGCGTCACTCACCAGAGGGCCTCCGACTCGCTCTCCGAAAGGGGATAAAAACAACAGGAACTGACGACAGCGCACGCGAAAATCAGGACTCCCGAGACGCGCGCGCAACCGCGCCCCCTGCAGAACGATCGTGCGGGGGCCGCACATGCGCCCTTTGCGTTTCTGCCCCCAGCGCTCCCGGAAGGCGCATGCGTGCAACCAGCCAGCCACCGTCCCCTTTCTGGCGCTAAGGGTTTTCCCATCCGGGTTACTCGACCGCTCTCGCCCCGCCCCGCCCCGGAAGAAGCCGCTGGGTCTCGGGGCGGCGGCGGGCTCCTTCCCTGCGGGGTTGAGCGCGGTAAGTGTGTTGGGCGGACCCCCCCCCCCCCCCCGCCCAGCTTTGTCTGGCCCGTCCTCCCCCTGGGTGCCCCCTTCTCGGGCGGCTGCTCTGCCCCTTCCCCCGGGCCAGCGCTCGCTGCGACTCCCGGCCAGCGGGCTGCGTCCGTGCGGCAGGACAGCCCAGTCCCCGGCCAGCCGGGAGCCGCCCTCGCACGGTTCCTCCCCGCCCTCACCGAGCGGGGACCCCGGCTGGCCCCAGCTCTCGGCTTCCTCCGGGTGACCGCGGCTCTTGGTGCTGAGTCACCCCGGCCGGGCAGCCCGGTCCCCGCTGCGGGGGGCGACGCATCGCTCCGGGCTGGGAGCCCAGGGCGAGGCCGGAGCTGGGGGGTGGCTGGGAATTCAATCACCGAGCTCCCGTCGGGTGCTGCCGGCCAAGGCGGTGAACGAGTCCGGTTTCAAAAGCGCTAAATTAAAAATTCCCGCTGGACTCTCTTGGCAGCTCCTGGCCCTATAGGTATCGCTGATGTTCCTAAGTGCCTGAGCCTCCTTCAGGCCGGGCTAGACTCTGTACCTCCGGGGACGGACGAACTGATGTCTCGTTTCCGTTTTATTCACTTACAAGCGCCTTACCTTTCCGCCTCCAGTGTCCCCTCCAGGCTTCTCAGAGCCTGGTCTCCACATGAAATAGAACAGTGGTTTTCAGCCTCTGGTCCGCGGACCCTGGGGGCCACAGGCTATGCCGAAGCTTCCCAAAGAGGTCCCCGCAGCTCCATTTGAAATTTTGTAGGGATCCGCAAATGAAAAAGGGTCAGAAACCACTGAAATAGAATGAATGTGTTTGCACAGTGATGTTCATACAGCCCAGCCTTTTGCCTGGTGGGGAGTTCCCTGTGATTGCTATTTGCAAAAGAAGTAGGTTCTTAAAAATATTTAACAGTCTCTTTCTGAAGGTAATAGAATAGAAATCGATTGAGATTATATAGTATGAAGACAGGTAAAATAAGAACATAATTTTGGCCAGCATTAACTTGTTTTAAATCTCCAAAACTTTCTTCTCATGATTACAGTCTTCAGAAGCTACCCAGATTATTGAAGATCACTCAGAAGGATTTAAATTCATCCAACCAGTTTATCATAAAATGCATAAGTTCACAATCAGTTTAGTTTTGCCAGTGAATAAAAGTAACAGGACCACATATCATGTAAAAATTCCATCCAAACTAAAACTGTCACTGTGTTAAACATCTTTTACTAAGATTTTTAAAACATTTTTGCTCCATTCCCTTGCTACAGCCAACTGCTGCTATACTTTTCAGGCTGCTGTGATAGGAAGTGTTCTGGCATCAAGCTTCAAGTTTAACTTGGTATCAGTCTAAAATTGGCAAAAAAGTATAAGCTGTTTTTAAGGATAACTTTTCTTTGGGGCAGAGAAGAATAATTTTATTGAGGCTAGTCCCCACACTGGATTTATGATAGAAATTTTCACCCAAACATCAACGTAAAGTGGTACCGGTACCCAATTAAGAGTGTACCCTAAGCCAGGCTGTTTTGTTAATCTTTGCTCATTTGTCTGCTCAGATGAGCATCACAATGACCAGTATTGTATTCAACCACTTCCCCTTGTGTTTATTTGCTGCTTCAGTTCATAGTATGTGCGTCAAACACATTATGACACATCCATCTTTCTGGATGTGTCATAATGGCACCCAACTAGCGGCTAAGGAATACATCTGAGTGAAGTCATTGCAGAGCAAGTAGCAGACACACCAGCTGGGAGATCTGAGGGGGGCCAGATAGAAATGAGATTCTTAGGTAGAGAATTTACCCTTCATATTTACTTGTTTCATTTTGTCTTTTGAGAATCTGTGTGACTATTTAGCTGCAGCTCTTTCATCTAAATTTATTCTCTCTTCCAGCATATCAAAGAGTTAGAATTAATTTAGCAAATGTATTATTCAAATACCAATATAAGTAGTATTGTACTGGTAGCTTGATTTAATAGCCCTTATTAATTAGCCTTCATTATGGTAGTTGATATCTGTTGCTCTTAGGCATCTATCTCTCTAGTGACTTGAGAACTCAACTCTGTAGTCAGTAATATTCCATTTATATCTGTCATATCAAAAGAGCAGCTTCATAAGGAGTTGAGAGACAATGTCTGTGTATGAGGACTTGCCTGCGGGAGTATATGGAGTTCTTACAAATTAAAAGAATCATTTTAACCATAGTGGTCTAGTACTCCTTTACCAATCAAGACAACTTCAGTTTAAACACCGGGTGTTAAAGACTTGTTCTAGTACTTTAATCTCTCTAGAACAACTACTAATTTGATTTTGGGCAACTGATTACCAGTAAAATATTGACAAATTGGGAGGAGCTGGAGAAAAGCAACAGATTGTTAAAATAATTGAGAGACTGTAAGGATTGCTGTCTAGCTAGGCCAACTGACTGCTAGTTGCACGAGCAGTAAGGGACACAAGTCTAGAAATAGTTTTGGGGCCTTAAACATCCAAGAGGAGATAATTCGTATGAAATGCTTAATATAACAAAGGTCAAAAAACTGAAATTAAGAGAGGGTAAATTTGGGCTGAAAACCTGATAGAACTTTTTGAGGCTGGGATCTAGGCCTGGTCTACACTTAAAAATTAGATCAACCTATCTGTGTTGCACAGGGCTGTGAAAAGTTTTGTGCCCTGGGACTGTAGTTAGGTTGACCTAACCCCCAGTGTAGATGCAGCTTGGTCAATGGAAAAATTATATCGTCAACCTAGCTACTGTCTCTGCGGGATTATTTACTACATAAATGGAAAACTGCCTTCCATTGGGTGTAGGAAACATCTGTGTTATAGTGCTACACTGGCACAGCTGTAGCCCCATAGCTTCGTTGCTGTAACATAGACATACCCCTGGTTTGTGGAGTAGTCTTCAAAGGAAATAGTGGAAACCATATCACTTTACTTTTATAAAACAGGACAAAGCCCCAAAGACTGTAGTGTAGGGCAGAGGTTCTCAAACTGTACCAACAGTGACCTACAGGAAGTTGATTGGTGTTGTGGTGCTGGCCCTCCTTGTTTGCTCTACTGCTTCTGGAGTGCAGTTTTGGTTACAGTGGAACTAAGTATAGGAATCTATAGAAAACTCCTGCATTGAAGAGATCTATCCCATCCCTTGCCCCCACTTGGCTCAGAATTGACACCAAATTATTTTACTGTAAAGGTTTTTATTTGCCTAAGCTGTTACACATGATGATGACTCTATCATTCTTGCATATCTTTCTGCTCCTCTTTCTGAATCCTCTCCCAGAAGTGTCTTAATACAGTGACCAGGGCTATGTGTATGCTACAATTTGCTGCTCAGAATTTATTTCTTGAGTTATGATGATGATGGGAAATTATAGTAAAGTTTTGAACACAGTGCTGGTTGTCTCCATTTAATTTTCAAACAACTCACTTTCTGCTTTCAACACCATAGGGTAACTGTCAGCACCCACAGTGCCAAGGATGAAAACAGAAGCTAAGGATGGAGAAGAGGAAAGTCTTCAGACAGCTTTCAAAAAGCTAAGAGTTGATGCAGCAGGGTAAGCAAGCATATAATGATGTATTGAGGAACTATATGACCAGTGAATTGCTAGGGAACCACTCTACAAATCTGAAGCGATTGAGATAGGTACCAAAGGATTAGGTAGTGGAAGGCTTAACTGTAGCACAACAAATTGAAGTCTTTTTAAAAAAAAAAAAAAAAAAAAAAGTTTGTAATCAGAGGGCTATTTAGCTGTGGGGATTGGTAAATGGGATACAGATCAATTCCTATCTAAATTGCTGGTTCAAGTCCAACCTGGGCTAACAGTGACCAAAAATGGTTACTATTTGATAGCTGTCATTTGGCTGCCCATATTAAATGAATTTGGGCTGAGCCCTGGTTATCAGAGGACATGTGCACATTATTAGAACCCTGCTAATGTAACTAGTATTTATTGGCAATACCAGCAGCAAGACCAACCACTGAATTGAACCAGGGAGATGGATTCCCTTCCTACCCCTTTGAGTTAGGTGGTCTTGCCACATCAGTATTGAAGATACTGGTGAGGTCATGTAGGAATCCAGTATTGCCACCATTGGACTCTAGTCTCCAGGAATGACAATTTCTTTAACAAAAACACTGAAAGGGAGGATGTTGTGTATATCTTCTCCTTACTTGGGAGACATGATATGCAGTACTTGACTTACTGCTTCACGATACTAGAGCACAAAGAATCTGTCCATCTCACTTTTAATACTCAGAATGGCAACCCTTTCCTACTTAATAAAAGAACACTCAATACAATTATCAAGTCTCAACTCTCAAACCTGGCCTACATTGGAATTTCAGCCACTGGTGTAGCTGCACCAGTGCAAACTCCTAATGTAGGTACAGTTTACACCAGAGCAGCATGATTTGCAGTGATGCAGCCTTCCTTGGTTTGAAAACCCAGGGAAGAATTTTCTGTAGTATCTGGCTGGTGAATCTTGCCCATATG